CATTACCATGTAATGCAATTTGAAACTCCATTACATGGTCAATGTATAGAATCATAGAATCGTAGAATTAGAATAGACCTCATGGGCCATCCAGTCCAACAACTTGCCAAGAAGCAAGAAAATCGCATTCAAAGCACCCTCGACAGAAGGCCATCCAGCCTCTGTTTAAAAGCTTCCAAAGAAGGAGCCTCTACCACACTCTGGGGTAGAGAGTTCAACTGCTGAACAGCTCTCACAGTCAGGAACTTCTTCCTAAGGTTCAGGTGAAATCTCCTTTCTTTTCGTTTGAAGCCATTGTTCCATGTCCTAGTCTCCAGGGCAGCAGAAAACAAGCATGCTCCCTCCTCCCGATGACTTCCCTTCACATCTTTATACATGGCCATCATGTCTCATCTCAGTCTTCTCTTCTGCAGGCTAAACATGCCCAGCTCTTTAAGCCACTCTTCATAAGGCTTGTTCTCCAGACCCTTGATCATTTAGTCACCCTCCTCTGGACACATTCCAGCTTGTTGACATCTCCCTTCAATTGTGGTGCTCAGAATTGGACAGTGTGATTCCAGGTGTGGGCTGACCAAGGCAGAAGAGAGGGGGTAGCATGACTTCCCTGGATCTACACACTATACTCTTTTACGGAGGCCCAAATCCCATTGGCTTTTTAAGCTGCCACATGTTTAACTTGTTGTCTATGAGTATTCCAATATCTTTTTCACAGATGATGCCTGCTGTTGACCCAGGCATCATTCCCCATTCTGTATCTTTGCATTATATTTTTTCTACCTAAGTGTAGTATCTTGCATTTGTCCCTGTTGAACTTCATTTTGTTTGTTTGGCCAATCATTTCTCTAATCTGTTAAGATCGTTTTGAATTCTGCTCCTGTCTTCTAGAGTATTGGCAATCCCTCCCAATTTGGTGTCATCTGTAAACTTGATGATCCTGCCTTCTAACCCTTCATCTAAGTCATTAATAAAGATGTTGCACAGAACTGGACCCAGGACAGAATCCTACTTATGGCACTCCACTCATCACTTCTTTCCTGGCTGAAGAAGATGCATTGGCATCCTCTGAGTTCGTTCGCGTGATGCCCAGAATTAGACAGAGTGTGATTCCCGGTATGGTCTGACCAAGGCAGAATAGATGGGTAGCATGACTTCCCTGGACTTAGACACTGTACTCCTATTTATGCTGGCCAAAATCCCATTGGCTCCCCCCCCCCCCACCACATGACTTTGTTGGCTCATGTTTAACTTGTTCCCCACGAGGACTCCAAGATCTTTTTCAACGTACTGCTATCGAGCCAAGCATTGTTCCCCATTCTGTATCTTTGCATTTCATTTTTTCCTGCCTTTGTTTTGTTATTTTAATTGCAGATGGATGGGAACATACTTTTAAGCAGCTTCTTAAAAGTATGTTCCCATCCATCTGGCCATCTGTCATGGGTGCTTTGAATGCAATATTCCTGCTTCTAGGCAGAGGGTTGGACTGGATGGCCCACGAGGTCTCTTCCAACTCTATGATTCTGGACGTTTCCATTTCCTAGAAGCACCAGGAATCTTTGTCTTAAAAATGTCAGGAAATATTTCTGCAGTCTTATATTAATTGGCCACTGTCTGATCTTATGAAATCATAGACAGTTGCCATTTCTTAATGTAAGAGACTAGGGAAATGATTACAGATCACAGAAAAGGTAATTAGGTTCATGCTTGATAGAAAGAATAAAGTGCCTTGATTTTAGCTGCTTTCTTTTTGGCATACAGATATTTATCTGTCCTAATGAAACATGGTCATCAAAGCTAGTGTAGTCGTTAGTCATCATGAGATGAAGCAAGGACATAATAGGTAGAGGCTTAAGGTGTGGCCATTCTGAAGAACACCAACCTTGACATATATAATCCCTTGCTTTTTTCCTTTGACAATCATGCTCCCAGGCTAAAGACATGTGAAATTCATAGATAAGATATAGGATCAACTGTAATCCAGATCATACTTATAAACGAGTAAGGCCCCATTTACACAGCTGTATAAAATCCACATTGAACTGGATGATGTGGTAGTGTGGACTCAGATAATCCAGTTCAAAGCAGATATTGTGGATTATATGCCTTGATATTCTGGGTTGTATGGCTGTGTGGAAGGGCCCTAGAATACTACCAAACACAATGGGCAAGGATAGGGTTTTGCAGTTTTTCCCAATAAGAACAATGAAGCAAGTCAATGGTGATGAACTTTAGTCCCATTGCGTGATTGAATTGGCTTTGAAACTAATCTTTCAGTTTTTATTGAAAAGGTTGAGGAACATCTAGGTTTCCAGCTGATATAGGATTAAAACTGCCACCATCCGTAATTGATATGCTTGCTAATAGACCATCCACACTATAGACTCATAGCAGTTCTGTACCACTTTTAATGGCCAAAGTTCCATTCTGTGGAATACTAGGATGTATAGTTTCTTGTGGCAGCAGAGTTCTCTGGATAAACATCTCACAAGACTAAACATCTCACAAAAGTGCAAATTCAAAATTCCTTAGCATTGAGCCATGGCAGTTAATGTGGTACCAAACTGCCATAATTTTGCAGTATGGATAAACAGTGGCTTCTCATAGGAAGTTATAGTTCAACAATATCTGAAAGACTATACCAACTCAGCCCTGTTTTAATGGGCATTTCCCACCCTGTTAAATTGACCCCTGTTGGGATTTGACCCCACACTGCCCAAGTCTCAAGCCCTCAATGAGAAGTTAGTTGGTATTAGAATAGTCTAAGGGTTTCTCTTCTCCCATGTCTCCTGTATGACCGTTGAGCATATATCTATTTCTTCTCTCCTCTGTCTATGCTCTCATTCTAATTGGTTGTGTAGAATGGGTACTTTTCTACTGCAAACCTTTACTTTGACTTCAGTTCTCCTACATCTTTGTATGTGCTGTGTGCTTTGAGATCTCTCTCTGCACATGTGTCAGAGATATAGCGCTTGGGTGGTTTATCCCTTTTTGAAATCTTAGAAGAGATGAGTGTTAGAGTAGCCTAGACCCAGTTCTTTACTATTAAGACATGCAGTTATTGTTTATTAATGTAAATAAACCTTTTGTGATTTTTAAGGTTGGACTCTGCAACTTTACCGGACTTGTCTGACTTGGCCACGGTGGTCCACACTCTGGTTACATCCCAAAAAGACTACTGCAACGCACTCTATGTGGGGTTGCCTCTGAAGACTGCCCGGAAGCTACAATTAGTCAAACGACCGGCAGCCAGGTTGCTTACAGGAGTGGGGTACAGGGAGTGTACAACTCCCTTGTTACACCAGCTCCACTCGCTGCCAATCAGCTTCCGTGCACAATTCAAAGTGCTGGTTTTAACCTACAAAACCCTACATGGTTCCGGCCCGGTTTACCTGTCCGAACACATCTCCTCCTATACATTTTCTAGGATGTTAAGATCTTCTGGAGAGGCCCTGCTCTCAGTCCCACCACCTTCGCAGTCACGCTTGGTGAAGACAAGAGACAGGGCCTTCTCTGTGGTGGCCCCCCGGCTATGGAACTCTCTCTCTCTGGCAAGATTAAGTCTGCCCCCTCCCTCCTGTCCTTCAGGAAGCAGTTAAAATCCTGGCTGTAGAATCAGGCATTTGCAGATTGATGGATGACCTGGTTCGGTTTAAGTGGTAATGGATAACAACAATTGGATTGAGTTTGATGATGAGATGGATGATGTTTTTAACTTGATGAACTGTTTTTATATGCATTTTAGAACTTATTTATTGTATGTTGTTTTATGATGTTATTTATTGTATTGTATAGCATTGAATTTTTGCTGTTAGCCGTTCTGAGTCCCTCCACGAGGTAGAGAAGAACGGGATACAAAAGTTCTAAATAAATACAATATATAAATTAAGCTCTAAATTGTTTACTGCTATATCACACAACCTGGGGATCACAACCAGATACAGTGAAGACATCTGCCCTTGCGCTATGCTACTCTGCTGCTGAGTATGCATGCCCAGTGTTGAACACATCTCACCACACTAAAACAGTGGATGTGGCTCTTAATGAGACATGCCACATTATCATGGGGTGTCTGTGCCCAACACCAATGGAGAAATTACACTGTTTAGCCGGTATTGCACCACCTGACATCTGCCAGGACGTAGCAACCAATAGTGAAAGGACCAAGGCAGTGACATCTCCAGCTCATCCCCTGTTTGGGTATCAGCCAGCATGTCAATGACTTAAATCAAGAAATAGTTTTATAAGATCTACAGAGACACTCGCTGGAACACCTCAGCAAGCGAGAGTCCAAAAGTGGCAGGCTCAAACCCAGAACCTCAATCAATGGCTGATACCAAATGAGAGACTCCCCCCTGGGCACACAGAAAACTGGGCGACTTGGAAGGCGCTGAACAGACTGCGCTCTGGCAGCATGAGATGCAGAGCCAACCTTAAGAAATGGGGCTACAAAGTGGAATCCACAACATGCGAGTGTGGAGAAGAGCAAACTACTGACACCTGCTGCAATGCACCCTGAGCCCTGCCACATGCACAATGGAGGACCTCCTTGCAGCAATACCAGAGGCACTCCAAGTGGCCAGATACTGGTCAAAGGACATTAATAGAATACCAAGTCTGCAAATTTTGTGTTTTGTTTGTTTGTTTGTCTGTTTTTTTTCATGCAATACAACTGTTTTGGTTCGCTCCTGACACAATAAATAAAAATAAACACAGCACTTCACGCTCTGCTTGCTGTGAACTAGATGCTCAGCTATAAGTATCCTATTTGTTTTTTTGGATGCTCTGCTTATTTTTGGGAAGTTTTCCCTAACACCAAAGACATTCAGGAACCACTGAAGAGACATCCCACATTGAAAGCCTTTCCAAAAATGTGTTATACAGTGTCAGCCCTCTTTCACTGTAGGGGAAAGAAAACGGTGAAGATACAGCTTGTAGAAGTCAATCTCCTCCTGAAACATTTGATATTAGGCCTCTCTATTTCCAAAAACAAATCAACAACTGTATTGAACTCTCAGTAAACTTTATTTCCAATCTATTACGCAATCTGATAAAGAAGGGAGAACAGGTGGGGTTGCAGTTTCAGTCTATATTTTCAGTGGCTGCCTCTTCTCTTGTTCTGAATGTGTGAAGCTGGCAGAAATGATTGTTCTTTTGGTGTTTGCTGTTTCAAGTAACAAAGCGGTGGTCCATATGAGGTGAAATAGCCCGTTTCTTTAGCAGGTAGGTGCTCTTTGGAAAGGTTGGTAGGAGGAATGTTAGAACCTGAGCCAAAGTAGGGAAGTTGAAAGATTAGGTTGTACAGGTAAGTTTGTGAATGGGGGGGGGGGGGGAATTCAAGTAAAGAAGAAAGAAAGAACAGAAGTAAATGCAAGATGAAAAGTCAAGGGCTCTAGAAAAGCATGAGGCTAATTTGGCTCAACAGAACTTAAACTTAAGCAAAGCCAATAAGCCAACTTGACAGTGACAGGTCATTTGGAGGTCCAGCCTGACAAGGGATGGGATGGTCAGAGGTTCAAAGGAAGGCAGTACTAGAAATGTATTGGACTGTATCCAACTTTATGAGGCAGCAAGAAGCAATCTGGAGCAAAAACCACAGGGATTTGGAGAATTGAAGTTGCTTGGCTTGGCTCTCTACTCGCAAGCAAGTTTCCCGTCAAAGCTGGAGAGGCAGATGGCAAATGCCTGAAGGGCACAGAGCGGGAACTGGTAGTCCATAGTGAAAACGTTGGGTGCCACACGGCCAAACTGGAGCACAATGTAGTCAGCTGGAGGCCAGAGAGAAAAAGACGCATTCATACATATAGACTGGTTCTCACAAACTCTTTTTTCCTCAGTTCCTCTTATTGACCCATCTCCAAAACAATGCACCCAGCATCTACTTTAATCTTGCTCTCTCTTCTGCAAAATCTGATTTCTGTTTATACTAGTGTTTCTCAACCTTTGTAATGCTGCAACCCTTTAATACAAGGGGTTGTTGGGAACCGCCTTGAGTCGCCAATTGGCTGAGAAAGGCAGTATACAAATACAGCAAATAAATAAATAAATAAATAAATAAATAATACAATTGCTCATGTTGTGGTGACCCCCAACCATAAAATTATTTTCGATACTGCTTTGTAACAGTAATTTTGCTACTGTTATGAATTGTAATGTAAATATCTGATATGCAGGATGAATGTGCCTTGTACTGTCGCCCTTATGTTGGACACAAATACCTGATACACCCAAATTTGAATACTGGTGGGGTTGGATTGATTTTGTCATTTGGGAGTTGTAGTTGCTGGGATTTATAGTTCACCTACAATCAAAGAGCATTCTGAACTCCACCAAAGATGGAATTGAACCAAACTTGGCACACAGAACTCCCATGACCAACAGAAAATTTGGTGGGCATTGACCTTGAGTTTTGGAGTGGTAGTTCATCTACATCCAGAGAGCACTGCGGACTCAAATGATGATGGATTGGACCAAACTTGGCACAAATACTCAATATGCTCAAATGTAAACACTGGTGGAGTTTGAGAAAAATAGACCTTGACATTTGGGAGTTGTCATTGCTGGGATTTATAGTTCACCTACAATCAAGGAGGATTCTGAACCCCACCAATGATAGAATTGGGCCAAACTTCCCACACAGAACCCCCATGACCAAAAAAATACTGTGTTTTCTGATGATCTTTGGTGACACCTCCCTCACGACCCCCCCGGGGTCCGTTCCCCAGGTTGAGAAATGCTGGTTTATACCGTGCATCTTTTGGTTTTTAAATATGTGGCACATGGTGAACAGAGATTTTTTAAGAAAGGTTATACAAGTTATTCATATAGCATTGAAACTATTTCACATCAATAAGTTTTTGCACAACTTGTTCCATTATTTATTTGCTTCATTTGAGATGCACACACACACACACACACTTATTTATCTTATTTATGACCTGTCAAAAAAGGGGCTGGCCACATTAGGAATAATAGGGTGACTACCAATTGCCACAAGACTTTGGATGTTATTAAAGGGCAGGATTAAATTGTTACATATTTAGTAAGCTTTTGCACCAGAGACAATAAAGATGGCAGTGGGATTTTCTGTCTCTAGTGGCAAAATAAATTGTTTGGGCATGTGTATTTGTATTTTGATTTGAGTAGCTAAAGATTGGTGCTATTATTGCTTTATCCCAGGCAACAAATCTATCAACAGCAATTGCTTCATTACTATAAAGTGCCATGTCCATTGTTTAGATGTTGAGTTTCTTATACTAGAGAATCCTGTGGATTTCCTTTTGGGTGAATAGTAAAGGTAAAGGTTTCTGCTTGACATTAAGTCTAGTCGTGTCCGATTCTGGGAGTTGGTGCACATCTCCATTTTTAAGCCAAAGAGCCGACATTGTTTGTACACATCTCCAAGGTCATGAGGCTGGCATGTCTTCATGGGGCGCCATTACTTTCCCGCCAGAGAGGTACCTATTGATCCACTCATATTTACATATTTTCGAACTGCTAGGTTGGCAGAAGCTGAGGCTAACAGCAGGAGCTCACCTCGCTCCCTGACTTCAAACCAGCAACTTTTCAGTCAGCAAGTTCAGCAGATCAGCAGTTTAATCCGCTGCACCACCAGGGGCTCCTTTTTTTGGTGAATACTGAGTTATTTTAAGATTTCAAACTGAATCTCAATTATGTTGAAGCAATAGTACAGTCGTCTTGATGAGATTTTTTCAGAGGAGGCTTGCATATGCCTTCTCCTGAGGAGAAGCCCCCACCCTCCAAACCTTCTGCACACAATTAGAGACCTGACTTTTCCGACAAGCCTTCGACCATGTTTTGACTCTCTAATAATACATATGTGGACTCTTGGAATCTTTATTAGCACTTTACAATTCTGAGATCAAATACTGCTGTTTTATTTACAGCAATTGCTGTATTTTATTGTTTTTTACCAGGGGGTATTGTGTATTTATGATGTTGTGTTGACTGCTTATTGTTTATGTCCTGCTTTGCACTTGTATTTTGCATGTCACACCTTGAATGTTCTGTTAGCTGCCCCAAGTCCCTCTGGGAGATGGTGGTGGGACAGAAATAAAGATGATGTTGATGATGATTAGTAGTAGTAGTATTATGAAGCTAAGAGTATATGATGTGCCCAGGACCATCCAGTGGGTTTCAATGGTCAAGGAGAGACTAAAACACTGATTTTCCAGGATCCTGGCCCACCACTCAAACCACTACGCAACTAGCTCTCTTAGCTAGAGAAGAGGACATAAATATTGAATTCTACTATTTATTTATTTATTTGCCACATTTATATATATATTATTTATTTTATATATATATATATATATATATATGGTAAATACATAATATATATATAAATGTGGTAAATAAATAAATAAATAGTAGAATTCAATATTTATGTTGTATTGCAATACAATACAGTTGCTTGTATTGCACATATGAGAGCAGAAGTCCTAAACTTTTTTTTACTTATACATAAGTCCCATAGAATCTAACTTATTTTGAACCAAAACTCAGTCCAAAGCTGCCATACATTCTCCCACAAGCCTCATCCCTCTAACTATGTGAACCACTACTCACGGTTATCTTCTGCAATGATCTGGAAATTTTTGACAGATGCCTGCGTGACACGCCCATGGAAGTTGAGCACATATGACTGGGTCTCTTCATTCCAAGCAGGCATCTTGTTCTGGAGTTTGATCAGGTTCTGCATGTTCCGGTTCTGGTATCGTGTCAATAAAGTCTCGTGTTCCTGTAGGCACAGATGAACAAATGGAAAGCAGATGTCTGTCTTATATTGGCAGTTATTACCTGTGACAGGTAATGAGATGAGAGGGAAGAGAAGAGAGTACTAATCCCCTTGCAAAGAAGCACTCACATTTTTCGGACGGATGCAGATTCTCTCGTTGTCTGTGTTTATGCCGGGAATGATCACGGTCATTTTTCGTGGGCCCCTGAATCCCAAAACATTGGTTTCCTGAAAGGAGGCAGGGTCACAAAGAAAGGAATGGATTAATGTCACCTTGTTGGAGTTGTCGGTGAAATGTCATTATTCATTTTCACTCTATAATCATAGGCAGACGGTGCATTTATACCCCATGCTTCAATCAACAAGGCTCGTAGGGCAACTTATAAATCAATGATTTGACAGTTCCCTACTTCCAGAATTAAAATCTCAGTAAGACACAACATAAAATGAAAATGCAATAGCATTGTAGGAAGCTACTAAGTTAATGAGATGCTGGCTGCTCATCTCTCATATGCCACAGCAATGGCAGCTGGAACATGGAGAGCAGGGTCACTCATCACTGGCCAAGGTATGATGGAACTATGTTTGGCTGCTCTTCCTTCCATTGACAGCACGGGAAGTTGATATGGAGGCAGGGTCTTTCACCAGCCTCTGGGACCAAGATATGATGGACCTGTGCCTGGCAGCTCCTCTATCCTGCAGGGCAGTTCCACCTAGGCACAAAATGCAGCTCTGAACTGATATGAAACAGACAGATTTGGAGCTGTATTGTTGCCAGACAGGGTACTGTCAATTACTTGTGACAATTACTGTGACTAGACAGCGACTCCACAGCCCAGCCATGCCAAAACTGGTTTGGGATGGCAGGGAATGGGTCTGGTTTCCACCTCCCAGCCACCTGCAAAAAAACAGAAAAAAATGTACATTACCTGATTGACTGCATGTTTACTTTTTGCTTCTGCCATGTGACTGAGCAAGGCAGCTTGAGAAGAGCAAGCCCCTTTCCACTTCTCTCAAGGTGTCTTGCTCAGTCACATGGCAGCAACCAGGAAGTAAACAGGAAGTATTTTTTTTATGTCAGGAGTGACTTGAGAAACTGCAAATCGCTTCTGGTGTGAGAGAATTGGCTGTCTTCAAGGACGCTGCCTAGGAGACACCCAGATGTTTGGCCATCCTTTGGGAGGCTTCTGTCCCTGCATGAAAACCTGGAGCTAACAGATGGGAGCTCACCCCACTCCCCAGATTCGAACTGCTGACCTTTCGGTCAGCAGTCCTGCTGGCACAAGGGTTTAACCCATTGCATCACCGAGGGCTCCCCAAACAGGAAGTAAACAAGATAAACACAATTTTACTGTCTTTTGGAGGGGAAATGGGGGTGCTACAGGGTAAGGGGGATGTTGACTGAGCCTGGGGAGGACATGATGGCTGTTGGAACACCAATCCTGAATCCTGCATAGGAGTTCAAGATGGGTGTCCACAATGCCCGAACACAGAAGAAGAGCGAAATTCTGCTGCAGTATTCAGACATTCCCTATGTTTTTAAACCCAGGGTTCCACTGCATAAACCAGCTTACCCTGGGTTATTTATATACTTACGACATTTCTACCCCATCTTTCTCACCCTGAAGGGGACTTAAGGCATTAATGTACTTCAGCATTGTGTGGATGCACACAAGCTAATGCAACTCTATACTGCATTAAATGGCAGTGCGGAAGAGTCCTCAGAGGCCAGGGCGATTGTATTTTAAAGTCACCTTCAGCCTTGCAGACACTAAGGCAGCATATAAGAGTATGATCAAAATATGGTATAGGCAACCAAACGAAATCATCAATCATCACCATTGTATATGCAGGGAAGATACTAATTATCATTGTCAGATCATTTAAATCAGTTAAAATGACCATTCAAATAAAAAGGCTCAGGGCGCCAGAAAGACTGCAGTGTTGGTGCCAGCTGCAATTTTCACAATACTGCAAGTGCGGTATTATGACTGAGAAGTTTTTTCTCCCTTTACATGAGGTACTTGGCAAAGGATCTTCCTTGATAATTTTGACAAGTCAGGCAGGCTGATACAAGGAGAAGTGATTTTTCAGATATTTAAGTCACAAGCCTATTAGATTTTTTTAAAATACAAGGAATGAGAGCTATTGCAGCAAATTCAGCCCAACACAAATGCCACGCTCTCTCCCTCGTCAGGACACCATTGCTGGTTTCCCAGTTTGTGTACAGTTTTCCCCTTATTCTCAGAGATTAAAAAGCCTCTCCTAAAGCTTAATTACTGGCAGTAAAAGCTTGAAGCTAAAATATTGTTGGGTTTCATCCCTGGACTGCACAAGTCTCCAATCCTCAATGAGTTTAGACTTAGATATAGGATTAGAGTGCGGGATTCCTTTCCCCACATTCCTATGATGCTTTTCCCAGAAGGGGCTTTGCATTACTCTTCTTGCTTGCCACTATCCTCCCCACTTTGAAGATGGAGCAATGGAATCTCTGTGAGGGATGAGGTAACTTCTTCTTTAAAGGTATTTTAATTGCCCTGGGTTTTGGCCATGTAATCATTCTCCATTGCCCTTTCTCTTCTGCCTTTGTCTCCAGTAATGATGCATTTTGCCTTTCTCCAGGCAAAATGTAGCTGCATGGATACTTTTTATTATCCTTTTACCTTCCTTAGAAGATGTGCTTAGTAAGATAGCTCCAAGACCTTTTTCTATCTAGAATGGATTTCTTTTTGTTGTTGTTCATTCGTTCAGTCGTCTCCGACTCTTCGTGACCTCATGGACCAGCCCACGCCAGAGCTCCCTGTCGGCCGTTACCACCCCCAGCTCCCTCAAGGTCAGGATTTCTTTTTACCTCAGTAAATATTTTGAACCTAAAGTTGCGACTCTGCAATCCTGAGCCATCTTGTTGAATTGAACCTAATCCTGACTCACCACGCATAAGTTTCTGCTGGTTATAAAGCCTCCTTCTAGCACTCTGCTGTATTTATGGTAGAATCACCCAAAGTGAGGGTTATGTTTTGAGCCTAAAAGCTCTGATTCCCAACAAATATATTGCTCTATGAACTGCAGCGGACCCTTTGTTCCAAGATCATTCCATGGACACCAAAATCCATGGCTGCACAATTCCTATTATGTTGTAGTAAATTGGTGACCTTTATATAAAATGGAAAATCAAGGATTGTTTTTAAAAGAATATTTTCAAGAAATGGTTCGTTGAATCCGTGGATACAGGAAAATCCATAGATACAGAAGGCTGACTATACTCTCCATTCTCTTTGGAGATGGCTATTCTGGACCGTGCAGGGAAGAACGTCTTTATTGTTGCCCAAGAGCTAGTCATATTCAGACTGGGTTGTTGTGTGTTTTCCGGGCTGTATGGCCATGTTCCAGAAGCATTATCTCCTGACATTTCGCCTGCATCTATGGCAGGCACCCTCAGAGGTTGTGAGATCTTTTGGAAACTAGGAGATATATAAACCCCATGTTCCAAGTTTCCAACAGACCTCACAACCTCTGAGGATGCCTGCCACAGATGCAGGCGAAATGTCAGGACAGGATGCTTCTGGAACATGGCCATACAGCCCGGAAAACTCACAGCAACTCAGTGATTCCGGCCATGAAAGCCTTTGACAATATTCAGACTTGTTTCTCATGACAAAAGTGCCTTCCCTTGACCAAAACGTACATAGCAAATAGCAACCAACTCTTGCCGCAAGTCAGCTGTTTCTGGAACGAAGGGTTTCTTGTCTGGATTGATCCCGTTGTCGAACACAGTAAACTTAGTTCCCAGCACATTGGATCTAGAAGGGAGTCAAAAAGGTGTTATTTAAAGCATGTTACACTCTACTGTGTTTCCCTCAACTTGGCCCCACAACGACCTAAGAAACAACTCAGCAAATGAACCCAAAAATGAGGCCCAGAATCACATATTTCCCAGTCAATGGAGCCTGGAAATTGCACAGAAGGTTAGCTTATAACACAAGCTCATTGAACAGTTTTAGTTATATGAGAAGAGCTTTAAATGCCATAGAATTTTGCGTGAAGATGAATTTTGCCATAGAATTTTGCGTGAAGATGAAGCAATGTCTACAGAAGTGTTCTTTGGACTTCAACTCCCACAATTCCTAACAGCCGGCAAACTTCGGCCCTCCAGGTGTTTTGGACTTCAACTCCCACAATGGAGTCCAAAACACCTGGAGGGCCGAAGTTTGCCCATGCCTGCTTTATATACACATACTAAAGTCCTGTAACAATCAACAAACCTCCAGTTTAAATTCATCACCCAAATTCTACGGAAAATGATCACACAAGAAACACAAACATACATTACACATAATGCAACATAATACTTAACATAATTACACTGACATTGCATACATGAATGTTAAACTACGCATACTGGATTTCCAAGCTTTCCCTTCATTGGCATCTATTCATTATTCGATTTGTCTTCCTTATATTCTAATACCATCGTTTAAACATATATACATATGCACGTTTTCCAGAGCTGAAATGGATCCTTTGCTTAATACATGGCCTTCTTGAGGTTTAACACAGCTAGTAAATCATCAGCAATTATAAAATCTATCAACCAAAAGGTTGCAAGTTCGAAGCCCCGGGTTGGCGTGAGCTGCCAACTGTCAGCCTAGCTCATTGTTTACCTAAGCAATTCGAAAACAGCTTTAGCTGTGATTAGAGAAATTAGGTACCGCTAAAAGCAGAGGAGGTGTTTTTGGCCTACAACTCCCAGAAATCCCAGCCAGTTTACCAGCTGTTAGGATTTCTGGGAGTTGAAGGCCAAAAACATCTGGGGACCCCATGTTGAGAACCACTGCTCTACCACCATTTGTGCCCCTACCACCCCTCCTTGCTGCCCCAACCCAGTTGCCTGCTTTCATTTATGGAACTTTCCCTTCCTAATCTAGAAATCACTAAAACATGACTAGCAGAGAGATTAGAGCTTGTGTTGAAACACGTTTGTGTGTTGTGTGTAATGCGTCACATAAACATAACAAGAAACCTCTGGGTCTTTGTGAAATAAACAATACAAAGGAAGGGAAGACGGGAGAAAAGGAAGAAAGGAAAACAGAGAAAACAGAGGAAAGGAATCCAGAATTCAGAAAGAGAGGTATAGCAGTTTGCACTCACTGGATGACTTTAGGCAAGCAACACTCTCTCAGCCTCAAAGAAAGCCAAAGGCAAATCCCCTTTGAATAAATCTTGACATGAAAACTCTGTGTACCTTAGGGTCACTTCAAGACTGGAATGAAGGCACACAGCAGCAACTATCCCAATTAATAATGAATTCTACCTTACTTGGAAAGTGAGGTTTTAAAAAGCTATTTGCGGCCCCAGGACGCTTAGCTTGGGGAGATAGGACAAGTTATAAATAATAATAATTATATTCGCCGATCTAATTTCAGCCCCTTACTACTCCCAACTGTAGAAGATAGCAGGGTTGAAAATGGACCCACCTGACTTTTCCAATGAAGTTGTCTCCATCTCGTGACAGGTCAATGGGGTCTAGGGAAATGAGATAATTTGAGGTTTTGCTTTTTTTCCTCTTCCGTCCAGACATCAGGAAGTGCTGAGGGAGAAGACATAGGAGTCAGTGATACTAGTTTGTGCTTGACTCATTCTTCAGTTACAGTCTTTGAACTCCTTTTTCTTGTGTGAATTCAAGTTCCTAAGACATCCCTAAGGCTTTAGGTTTTCTTTTTTTCAGAAGGGGTTTGCTTTTGCCCTCCTTTGAGGCTGAGAGAGTGTGATTAGCCCAAGGCCACCCAATGGGTTTCCACATGCCAGCAGAGATTCAAACCCTGTTCTCCAGAATTGTAGTACAACACTTGAATCACAATACCATGCTGGCCCTCATTAAAAGATAACTCCCACCGACCGCAGTCGATAAGACCATGGGATATGTAATCAGAGGTGGCCCTAGGTAATTTTCAATGGTAAGCAAACAGTATTTTGCCTGCCCCCCCCCCCCAACCAATCACTGATATATATTTTCTGTTCGTCGTGGAGTTCTGTGTGCCATATTTGGTTCAATTCCATCATTGGTGGAGTTCAGAATGCTCTTTGATTGTAGGTGAACTATACATCCCAGTAACTACAACTCGCATATGTCAAGGTCTATTTTCCCCAAGAGCACCTCAAGAGCGCCCCTGGACAAAATCAAGTATACTGCAAATGCTTACTTTGCGTAATGGGTTGAGCCGCCCCTGTATGTAGTCTAGGTAAAGGTATGTATGTAGTCTAGGTAAAGGTAAAGGTTTTTCCCTAACATTAAGTGTAGCCGTGTCAGACTCTGGGGGTTGGTGCTCATCTCTATTTCTAAGCCAAAGAGCTGGCATTGTCCATAGACACCTCCAATAAAGGGGTGCCTGGATGGGCCCTCACTTCCTATTGTCTTACCCTCGTTATTAACTGTGAGTTGTTTGTCAGTCGGATGTTTATAACTCAGAGACTGCTTGTATATGTTCAGAGCAACGACTGGACAATCAACAGCAAATGCCCTCCAGGTAAGGAAAAGTATGTCAGAAATATTAAATATTAACCAGGTAGTTTAAATTACAAAAATGTGAGTCAAGCACTGAAAGGGTTAAATGGATGCAATGACGCAGCAAAAGCTGCAGTTCAACATAAGCAGGTGTGCATATAGCGTAGCAGCCCTCTGTCTGTGAGAGATCTCTGTTGAAGAAAGGCCTCAGTATAAGTAGGTCTCAGTGTTAGTTTGCCTCAGTGTGAGAGAGGCATCAGTATGAGAGAGCCCTCAGTGTGAGAAGGCCTCAGTGGGAGAAAGGTCTCAGTGGGAGAAAGGCCTCAGTGTTAGTAGGCTTCAATATGAGAAGGCCTAATGTGAGAAGCTTCAGTGAGAGAAGCCCCAGGTTGAAGGCCATTAGGTTCTTGTGGGTTTTTTTGGGCTATATGGCCATGTTCTAGAGGCATTTTCTCCTGACGTTTCGCCTGCATCTATGGCAAGCATCCTCAGAGGTAGTGAGGTCACTACCTCTGAGGATGCTTGCCATAGATGCAGGCGAAACGTCAGGAGAAATGCCTCTAGAACATGGCTCTATAGCCCGAAAAAACCCACAAGAACCTAGTGATTCCAGCCATGAAAGCCTTCAACAATACATTGAAGGCCATTGTTTGTGAAGGCTGCTGTGTATAAAGCTACTTTGTGAAGTGCCTGTGTAACTTCGATGTGAGAGGAGGCTCTGTGAGAGTGAAGCTGTTTATCTGCGTGAGAAAGAAGCCCAGTGTTGAAGCAGTATAAAGGACTTTGTTCATTTTATAGAAACATTCTTGTAAATAGTGTAACCATATTATTTTGCTATAAAGAAAAGCTTCCTAAGGAAGAGATAATATTGGTCTGTGTGTTTTTGTTCTTTTTATCACTTGTGGCTACTGGTGCTGAAACACAGACATGTGCTTTCATCTCAAGAACAGAGAAGCATCCCGAGCTCTGAAGATCACCTGGGAAGGAATCCCACTGGAGCATTTCAGCGCACCCAAATACCTGGGAGTCACTCTGGACCGTGCTCTTACCTACAAGAAGCACTGCCTGAACATCAAGCAAAAAGTGGGTGCTAGAAACAATATCATACGAAAGCTGACTGGCACAACCTGGGGATCACAACCAGACACAGTGAAGACATCTGCCCTTGCGCTGTGCTACTCTGCTGCTGAGTATGCATGCCCAGTGTGGAACACATCTCACCATACTAAAACAGTGGATGTGGCTCTTAATGAGACATGCCGCATTATCACGGGGTGTCTGCGCCCTACACCACTGGAGAAATTACACTGCTTAGCCGGTATTGCACCACCTGGCATCCGCCGAGAAGTAGCAGCCAATAGTGAAAGGACCAAGGCAGAGACATCTCCAGCTCACCCCCTGTTTGGGTATCAGCCAGCACGCCAACGACTTAAATCTAGACATAGTTTTCTAAGATCTACAGAGACACTCGCTGGAACACCCCAGCAAGCGAGAGTCCAAAAGTGGCAGGCTCAAACCCAGCACCTCAACCAATGGCTGATACCAAATGAGAGACTCCCTCCTGGGCACACAGAAGACTGGGCGACTTGGAAGGCATTGAACAGACTGCGCTCTGGCACCACGAGATGCAGAGCCAACCTTCAGAAATGGGGCTACAAAGTAGAATCCTCGACATGCGAGTGTGGAGAAGAACAAACCACTGACCACCTGCTGCAATGCAACCTGAGCCCTGCCACATGCACAATGGAGGACCTTCTTGCAGCAACACCGGAAGCACTCCAAGTGGCCAGATACTGGTCAAAGGACATTTAACCAGCTACCAAACTCACAAGTTGTGTATTTTTCTGTTTGTTTGCTTTGTTCTGTTAGACTGGTTGTTCTGACACGACAAACAAATAAAAAAACACTGCTGCTAATAAGTTACTCTGCTGTACATTTATGAGAAGGGACTTCTGTTAATAAGCCCACTCGCCCAACAAAGTATACATTTAAATATTTATAATGTATTCTGATTGTAGTTTTTTTTTTCTTTTTAAAACTGTTTGCTTTTGCTCACGGATACCTTCTTTCCATTTTCCAGCTCATGATGTAGATAGTAGAATGGGAAAATGCCCTTGTCCATTCCTTTCCTGTCCCGTGTGATGCGGCACTGGATAATACTGCCCTTAGGTGCAGGTTTCAGAACAAATTCTTCAACATCACCCACTTTGAGGGACAGCGGGTTGTTGGGTTCCTCACTTGGAGACTGTCAAGGAGAGAGGGTGGGGGAAGGAAACTGATGGAATGAAATGCAGTGTGGAACTTGGAACAAAAGTCACTCTTTTTCTGCTGTGATTACTGAGCTGTGATTCTTTGGAGGCTTTTAAACTGACTGGATGGCCATCTGTAGGAGGTGATTTGTTTGTGCTTTACGAGCATGGCAGGGGGTTGGACTGGATAGCCCAGGCGTGGGCAGACTTCGATCCTCCAAGTATTTTGGACTTCAACTCTCACAATTCCTAACAGCCTATCGGCTATTAGGAATTGTGGGAGTTGAAGTCCAAACCATCTGGAGAGCCAAAGTTTGCCCATGCCTGGGATAGCTCATGTGGGCTCTTCCAACTTTATTATTCTATGATTTTACTGTCCTCGGGAGAATTTTCTCTAGAAACTCTGGTCCCTTCTACACGGGCATATAATCCTGATAATCAAAACAAATAATCCACATTATCTGCTTTGAACTCGATTATATGAGTCTATGCTCCCATATAACCCAGTTCAAAGCAGATAATCTGGATTTTATATGGCAGTGTGAAGGGGCCTCTGATGACTTATCTGAGGCTATCGTGCTCAGTAGAAAAGGTGATAAATTCCACATGGTGAAGGACAGACGATTTGGAGTTTTCCTTTTTGTGTTTTGGACTACAATACGAATTGGTCCTGCATGCTAAGAATAATGGGTATCATAATCCAAACTTTGGGAGGACTATGATAATGGGCATTATAGTCCAAGCTTTGGGAGATAACATCTAGCACAGTGCTTCCCAACCTTTTTTTGACCAGGGACCACTTTGACCAGTGACCACTCTCCAACATTAGTATCAAAAAGGTTACAAATCAGTTTTTGTCAACTTTAGATTTGGTTTGGTTATTTGGGGTGCTGATTCAGAAAACTACATTGGATAGACCACATCAGCTCTAGTTTCTGATAAGGAACATATGCCATCCAGTAGTCACCATCTTTTCGCCCACAGAAAACCATATTTAGTAATCTAGAGCTGATGCGGTAGCAGTAATATTTTATGGATAGTCAGCCTCTCCCCTCCTGACATCCACGTTGCCTCGGCATTATAAGAGGGTTTCACGAGACAAATGGCTCTCGTTGCCACATGGTTTTGAGGCAACAATGTAGTAATGGTGAGGCCGCGAACCATATTTTCATTCTTGCAGACTACTGGTGGCCCATGGACTACAGTTTGGAAACCACTGATCTAGCAAGATGGTGACAGTTAAAACAATAATTAAGAAAGCTTGATTGAGGCCTTAGCATCTCACAGAGGACAAGTTGACCTCCTCGCGGATGTACATGACCCGCTCAAGGATGTCCTGCTCCTCGATGTTGAGATCTTCCTTCTTCTCCTCATCTTCATCATCTTCATCTTCCTCCTCATCGCTCTGGCTTCTTCTTCCATTGGTGAGAGATCCTGAGAAAATACAAGGAGGATGGGGAGATGAACTGATGACAATATTTTGAGTCCACTTGACCACCCAGTCTTTCACCTGTAAAGCAGATTTACCTCTGTGGGAAAGCATCCAGTTACGGGATTTCTTCAGGGTTGAAGATGATAAGCTCAGTTCCTGGGATGACTCCCCCTCACTTTCAGAGCTGGTGGGGACTCTCAGGACATCATACCTTTCCTCAGTGGTGTCCTTGGAGTCTATAGACTCCACTTCCTCAATATGAGAATCCTTCTTGAAAACTAAATGGGCAAAGAAGTGAAATTTGGTCATTCTGTTACTGCCCTCTTCTGGGTGGTTCTGATTCAAACACCACAAATTTCCATAAGAATCAAAATTGCTAATACAGTACAACTTCTGTATCCTCAGAGGACATGTTCTCCTGCTTTGCATTGATAAACGAAACTGCAGATAATAGTAAATCCAATTGAAATGATGTACTTCTGCCCCAACTATACCATAGGATAATGCTGGTTGATCTAGAAAATGGCTATGGAAGGCATAGTTGGATAAATGAAACTGCCGATACAAGGGCCATATCATACTTTTATTCAGATGTAGAAAAGTTCACAAACATAGATGACCCTCTGCATTCTCCACAATTCTCCCTCAGGCTAGATGTTACCAAAACATAGAGAATAGAGAAACAAAAACAAGTTTTTAAAGATCCTGCTAGATCTTTGGCTATTGTTTGCAAGGCATTCCTATGATGGGAGAATGAAAACTGAGGCACCTTCTGCACTGCCAGGTAAAATCCTGATTATCTACTTTAATCTGAATTATATAGCAGTGTAGACTCATATAATCCAGTTCAAAGCAGATAATGTGGATTATCTGCTTTTATAATATGGATTATATGGCAGCGTAGAAAGGGCCTAAAAGTGCATCTACACCAGGCATGGGCAAACTTCAGCCTTCCAGGTGTTTTGGACTTCAGCTCCCACAATTCCTAACAGGCAGTTGAAGTCCAAAACACTCAGAGAGCCAAAGTTTGCCTGTGGCTGATCTACACTGTAGACACGTCAATAACTGTTGTGGAATCATGGGAGTTTTACATAGTCTTTACTCTTATCTACCAAAGGGTGCTGGTGCCTCACCAAACTACAACTCCCAGAACTTCATAGAATTGAGTGAAAACAGAAAAAGTGATATCAAATTGCATTCATTCTACAGATTTTTAGTGGTAGTGAGCAGCTCCTGGAGAGACATGGCAACAGCAACTGTGCTCCTCAATTTATATGTAGAAAACAGTATATGCTCTTGAGTGGTTATTTGTGAATGCTTCTCAATCGGGGAAGGAGGATTCCCCAGCTCCTCTACCTCATTTGTAATGGAGACTTGAGCATTCTCATTTGTTAGTATCCACAAGTCCTGGAACCACTCCACTGTGGATACTAAGAGCCCACTGCATTTATATTTGTATTGATGTTCTGCATAGTCTTTTCATTTGTATTGTTGCAAAATATGTTTATAACCTGACTTGGGTCTCATTACACTACGTAACACAATTTTTGTTCCTGACATTTAAATGTCATTTCCTAATTGGTTCTATCATAAAAACACGGAAAAGGTTTATTAAACTGCAAAACTTTATTTTTGCAGGACATCCTGCAGCACATTTTGCTATAGTGTTTCAATGAATATCTTATATAGAGTCTCAACCAATTCAACATAGTTTGTGACAACCACAAAAACAAAGTTTCTGGAGTATAACTACTACTTTCAAAGTAAGTACTGCACAATTAAACAGGAAATAACACTTTCGAATCAGGAACAGATTTTTTTTCAAATTTTGTTACATAGTGATATTGGGAGAAAGATGGTAGCCCTTTCACATATCTCCAGGAATGTTCTAGTTCTTCTAGCAGACTTCATGGTGGAAGAACGACTTTATAGCGATTGTATGCTGGAAGCATTGGGGGACCCAGGGATTCCTAGATAAACCTCTAGGACAGTGGTTCTCAACCTGTGGGTCCCCAGATGTTTTGGCCTTCAACTCCCAGAAATCCTAACAGCTGGTAAACTGGCTGGGATTTCTGGGAGTTGCAGGCCAAAATTCCTGGAGACCCACAAGTTGAGAACCACTGCTCTAGATCCTCTAGCACAACTGGATGTAGTTGACCATGGAATCATACTGAAGAACCTACAGGATCCTAGAGAGAACATTCTTAATCAAATCTGTAAAGGTCAAAACCTCAAATGTGAATGGATAGATGTAAATGAATGAAATCATCCTCATTATCTCACCTTCCATATCTGCTGGAACCTTTGGGATTGGAGATAAGACTTTCTTCCTTGGTTTTTGTGTCTTGGGTCTATACCTGGGGCTCTTGGCCTCCACATCCTCCATGGCAGGTGGAGAGTTCTCTCTTGGGGATAAGACTGCCTTTTTTGATTTGGAAGCCTGGTTACGCCGCTGGGCATTTGGTCGTCCTGCAGACAGTAAAGAGGAGATATTTATTTATGATTTATATATTTACTTCACTTGTAATATACTGCTTTTCTCACCCGGGGGGGGGGGGGGGACGGGGACTCAAAGCGGTTTCCAACTTATTTATGGCAAAATTAAATGCCTCACTAACATTGGGAAACAACATATAAGATATAACTATCGATTAGATCATAAAAATGTAACAACATTTAAACATTAAAACATGGAGTTAAAAACATATTGATATCAATGCTAAAATCACATAATCCCAAAAAAAAAAACATAGTCCAAGGTTGTTCCATATGGCAAATATCAATTGCACATAATCCCTGATCATTCCTTGTATTGCTTACTGCCCTTGGAAACAGTGCATGAAGTCTACCTTAAATCAGGGCTTCTTAAACATTTCCATTCAAGACCCCTTTTGGCCTAAGAATGTTGTACATGATCACATGCATATAAAAGAGGTAAAAAAATCAAACATTTACTGATAACAAATCAGCATTTGCAAGATTTGCTAAACAGACGGATTATCTCTTTTATAGAGTACAGTAGAAGTATCTCCTGCAGAGTCCACTGTAAACACTGCACGACAGATTCATGGCCATGTCTAAAACAGCATCCTGAAAACATTTGGTGCTGCCTATTTTTTCAGGACCCCAACAATGAGCTAAGGAGACCCCATTTTGGGTCAGGACTCAGAGTTGAAGGAGCAGTACCTAAAATCATAACTAGAGATAGTCACTTTCGTAAATTTCCAAGATCCCCTAACAAGTTATGGGTGCTGTCATCAAAAAGGTACAACTGCACTCCAAAGCAGGGGCAATTCAATTTGGAAAGATAGGTAAAGTTTCCCATGACATTAAGCCTAGTTTTATCTGATTCTGGGGGAGGGGGGTAGCACCCATCTCCATTTCTAAGTCGAAGAACCGGCATTGTCCATAGACACCTCCAAGGTCATGTGGCCAGCATGACTGCATGGAGCACCATTACTTTCCCACAGAAGCAGTACCTATCTATTCACATTTGTATGTTTTTGAAGTGCTAGGTTGGCAGAAGCTGGGGCTAACAGCTGGAGCTCACCCCGCTCCCCGGATTAAAACAACCAACTTTTTGGTCAGCAAGTTCAGCAACTCAGCTGTTTAACCCACTGTGAAAGTAGTCCTGTAGTACTACATTCACTTCCAAATTAGCTTAGTTCAACCTGTCCTGATATTGGACAAACTAGCAGAGGTTTGAACCCACTTAGCAGAGGCATCTCTAACTCAAGGATCACTGGACAAATGGACATCTGAATGACTGCACTGTATATTCCTACATAGCAGGGTGTTAGGCTAGATCAGGGGTCCTCAAACTAAGGCCCAGGGGCTGGATACGGCCCTCCAAGGGCATTTACCCGGCCCTCGCTCAGGGTCAACCTAAGTCTGAAATKACTTGAAAGCACACAACAACAACAACAACAACAACAACAATCCTATCTCACCAGTCAAAAGCAGGTCCAAACTTCCAACTGAAATACTAATTTGTTAAAATTGTTCTTCATTTTAATTGTATTGTTTTTAATTGTTTTCTGCACTACAAATAAGATCTGTGCAGTGTGCATAGGAAGTCATTCATGTTTTTTTCAAATTATAATCTGGTCCTACAACAGTTTGAGGGACTGTGACCTGGCCCTCTGTTTAAAAAGTTTGTGGACCCCTGGTCTAGATGGCCTTTGCAGCCCATTGAAGTCCTAAGAAGAACCCATCCCTCGATGCAGTGCTTCCCAACGTTTTGGTCCTCCAGATGTTTAGGACTTCAGTTTCTAAAAGCCTGAGACAGCTTGGCCAACTGTCAGGAATTCTGGAAACTGAGGCCAAAACACCTGGAGGATCAAAGATTGAGAAACACTACTTCAATGGATACTGAGACACATTTCTTGTATCTCCCTAGGCTACATCCACACTGCAGAATTATAGTAACTTGTCACCACATTAACTGCCATGGCTCAATTCTATGGAAATCTGGAATTTGTATTTTTGTGAGATATTTACCCTTTTCTGTAAGACAGCTCTAGTGCCACAACAAACTACAGATCCAGGAATCCATATGATTGAGCCATGTCAATTAAAGTAGTGACAAATTGCAATAATGCTGCAGTGTGGCTTGTCTACCAGTATTCCACTACCTAGATATCAAAGTGCTCCACTGCACTTTGGGTCCCATGCCTTCGCTCTCACCTTCTTTCTGCTTGGCCTGCCAGCCATTCTTGGGAGCTGTTTCATTTTTGTTGATTGGTTGGGTTTCTTCCAAAACAGCCACCTCCAGCTCTGACTCATCTGAGATATCTACTGAAGTGCAGAGGGAAGAGGGAAGGAGATCAGAGGCTATAAGGATGCAAAACAGGTCATAATTTAAAACCACCCATTTTTTGATCTGGTTGTAAGTTGTCTTGTCTCCCATTTATGGAAGAAAGTTGTGATATAAATGAAATAATTACGAAAATAAGGACTTGTGTAAACAGAGATGCCTGAACACAAACTATAACGTTCTCTGCATAGGAAGTTTTGGATTACACGAGGGTTATCCAGAAAGTAAGGTTACAAGATTTTTTGAACATACAAAGAATGAATATATTTTAATAAAACTTTCATGGATTGTAGCATAGGTATTACATTATTTTTCCATACAATCACCATTCAGTTCAATACATTTTGTCACTCATGGGACAAGTTTCTGATGCCTGTGTCATAGAAGTCTCCCTCCTCCTTTTTCAGCCAGTTTGTCACTTTGATTTTCACCTCATGTTTTCCACCCAGGTGTTCCTTCAGTTTAGTGAACAGATGATAGTCACTGGGTGTGAGATTGGGGTTCTGAGAGGAGTGGCTTAACACATCCCAACCAAGTGAAGTCAATAACTCTTGTGTTGCATGAGCGCTGTGCGGATGTGCATTGTCAGGAAGGAGACAGGCTCCCACCGTCAGCATCCCACGACGTTTGTTTTGGGTGGCTCTGCAAAGTTTCTTCATGGTCTCACAATATATTCCGTACCCATTTTGTCACATGCTGTCTTGACATTATGTCCTCTCCATAAACTGATATGACTTCATGATGAATCGCAATGGCGTTCATGCCCTTAACATTTAGGTAATGTATTACAGAGCAAACTTCGCACTTGGAGGGAAACAGAATGTGGACGCTCATCTCTAACCTTCACTACAACACCAGTCAATGAGCTACTGACGACTGGTACTGCTTGTTCCCTTCTGCTGGCTTCCTGCTACACCACAGTGATACCAACTCCCCTGCAAAAATTCCCTGTGAGAGCTACATGCCTTGTAACCTTACTTTTCAGATAATCCTCGTAAGTAGTAAGACTGATGTTTTAAGCTATGTGGAGAATGAGAGTATACTTCTGACATGCTCAAAGCAGTATGCTTTATATATTTTTATTTTATTTACCAATATTAAATTTGACTTTTGTTAAGTCTCGTCTTAGTCAGACTGTGTCAGGAGACATGCAGAAAAGCCCAGGAAAGCCATTATTTTTTGGACTTCACGTAACCATGGTTGGAAAATTCTGGAATTTTGAGTCCAAAAAGATAAATTTCAAAGGTTCTGCACAGGAATGATGTCGAAGGCCTAATTCCTATGCAAAGATTGGCAGAGCTGGGAAAAGAAGGTGGTTAATAATACTATGTAACACAACTTTTTCCTGAGCTGTTAATGCCATTTCTCAATTGGTTCTATCATAAAAACATGGAAAACTTTATTACAATTTTTTGCAGGACATCCTGCAGCACATTTTGCAATAGTTTGCCAATGAATATCTCATAGAGTCTCAACCAAATCAACCTAATTTGTGACAGGCACAAAATCGAAGTTTCTGAAGTATACCAACTACTTTCAAAGTAAGTACCTAAACTAAAGTACACAACTAAACAGGAAATAACACTTTCAAACCACAAACAGATTTTTTTTTCAAATTTTGTTACATAGTGTAAGTGTTCAGGAATCTTTGTTACCTGGAGAAACCTCTTGATTTTCCCCTTGGCCATGGTTTTGCACCCGTTTCATCTGCACAGAGTTGCCCCACATATGTGCGCCAAGGTGAGCTTCTGGGACAGATTCCACCAGGTAGGGGTTGTTTGTACCTAGGGATGGAGAAGACACAACATTAGCAAGGCTACGACTCCAGTTGTGGCACCACATCTAATGAGTGGGGTGTGTGCTAATACTCACTATTGTACAGGCTGTGCTCACTGCAGGATTCCATGAGTGGGATGCGCTCCTCAGGCTTGCGCCTTCCGCAGCGCCCCTTCACCTTGGCATCTGTGTTGGCCTGAACCATGAGTGGCTCTTGGCGCTTGCGGCGTTGCTTCTTTTCGATGATACGGCGCTGAAAAAGTAGACAGGCAGGCCATTGGATTTATTTATTTTTCATGTCAGAAGCAAATTGAGGATACAGTTATAATGTATTTTAAAACACAAACTAAGTTACGAACTTGGCATTATACTAAATGTCCTTTGGCCAGAAGCTGGTCACTTAGAGTGCCTCTGGTGTAGTTGTGAGAAGGTCCTCCATTGTGCATGTGGCAGGGCTCAGGCTGCATTGTAGTAAGTGGTCTGTGGTTTGCTCTTCTCCACACTCGCATGTTGTGGACTCCACTTTGTAGCCCCATTTCTGAAGACTGGCTCTGTATCTCATGGTACCAGAGCACAGTCTGTTCAGCACTTTCCAAGTTGCCCAGTCTTCTGTGTGCCCAGGAGGTAGTTCCTCATCCAGTCTCAGCCATGGATTGGGGTTCTGGGTTTTGGCCTGCCACTTTTGGACTCTCGTTTGCTGAAGTGTTCCTGCAAGTATCTGTGTAGATCTTAGAAAGCTATTTCTTGATCTAAGATGCTGGCTGATATTCAAACAGAGGATGGGCTACAGATGTCACTGCCTTGGTCCTTTCATTATTGGCTGCAACCTTCCGAATCCTGATGGATGTCAGATGGCACAATACCGGCTAAACAGTATAATTTTTCCAGTGGTGGGTGGCATAGACATCCTGTGATACTGCAGCATGTCTCATTAAGAGCCACATCCACTATTTTAATATGGTGAGATGTATTCCACACTGGGCATGCGTATTCAGCAGCAGAGTAGCAAAGCACAAGGGCAGATGTCTTCACTGTGTCTGGTTGTGATCCCCAAGTTGTGCCAGTCAGATTTCATATGATATTATTTCTAGCACCCACTTTTTGCTTGATAGTCAAGCATTGCTTCTTGTAAGTCAAAGCACAGTCCAGGATAACTCCCAGGTATTTTGGTGTGCTGTGATGCTCCAGTGGGATTCCTTCCCAGGTAATCCTCAGAGCTTGAGATGTTTGCCTGTTCTTAAGGTGAAAAGCACACTCCTGCGTTTTAGATGGATTAGGAATTAGCTGGTTTTCCCTGAAATGGGCAGTAAGAACATCTAAAGCTTCAGAGAGCTTCTGTTTAACCATTTCAAAGCTCCCCGTTTGAGCGGTGATGGCACGATTGTCAGCATAGATAAAGCTCTCTGTCCCTTCTGGCAGTGGTTGATTATTTGTGTAAATCTTAAATATTGATGGAGTAAGGCCATTGGATGAGAAAGCATTTCAGAAAGGAGACAACAATAGCAAACTTCACATATTTCGAAAATCAATCCAACTTATCCAACATAGATGGGGCCAGCAGAACGTTGGATAAGCAAAAATGTTGGATAATAAGGAGGGATTAAGGAAAAACCTATTAAATGTCAAATTACGTTATGATTTTACAAATTAAGCACCAAAACATTGTGTCTTACAACAAATTGAGAGAAAAAGCAGTTCAATACAAGGTAACATTATGTAGTAATGGCTGTATTTATGAATTTAGCACCAAAACATTGCAATGTATTGAAAACATTGACTGCATAGATAAACAGCTGTGGATCCAGGCGGGAGGCAGATTGCATTGGATAATACAGAACGTTGGATGAGCAAAGGTTGGATAAGCGAGACTCTACTGTATTTCCCTTCCAATGTCTGATCATACATTCCCAGGCTGACTTTATAATCTTTATAATCTGATAGCTCACAGCCATCTTGAGCAAAAGCAGAATTTATTTTCTGTTCAGAGCAGGGGAGCCACTCAAAATCTAACATACAGCCATCCCAACAGTTTTTCTGTTTGTTAATCACCTTCCTTTTTAAATTTGCAAACATGTACATTCTTCCTGGGAGGACTAAATCCCAAAGAACCTCAGGAAACTTGTTTTTGAATATACTTGATTCCCAGTTGTTTAAACATATCAAAAGAAAACACCTCAAACATGTACAAGTTTCAATTCTTTCTATTGTCGCTACTCTTACAGCTTGAACCTTTCTTTTTATATACTTTTACAAATGCCTCTAGACCATGGCCATACAGCCTGAAAAAACCTACAACAACCCAGTGATTCCGTCCATGAAAGCCTTCGACAATACTTTGACAAATCCTTTCAAGTGATGAATGTGGCTGTGATTAGGTGAGGAAAGATTGGCCTTGTGTATAACACGTTGCCCATGAAAAGGCTCCCACCAGTCTGAGTTAATCCGAAGGCCCACAACCATGTGCTACCTCTGAGGATGCTTGTCATAGATGCAGGCGAAACGTCAGGAGAGAATGCCTCTAGAACATGGCCATATAGCCTGAAAAAACCTACAACAACCCAGTGATTCCGGCCATGAAAGCCTTCGACAATACAATGTGCAATTGTATTTTGGAGCTGTCCAAAGCTGTTTCAAGGTGGCCTGTGACAAATTCTTCTTTGCCTCTGCTTTTGACATTCCCACAAATTTGGCCCTGCCCATTCTCCAAACTGCAGCCCTCAAAAAGTTACCTGGAATTCCAGTTTTTGCTTCCGGATGATGGCTGCCTCGTCGTTGCCATTGCTAAGAGAAAAAGAGGCATTCACATCAGGTGGTGAACCAGGGAGGGAATGGAGGCGATGGTATGAATTTCTGTACATTTTGAGATGTGGCATCACTCTGCCAGCGCCAGGACAGCCCCACCTCTAGGTAACCCAGTTCCCCCAAAGACCGTTGGCCTCCTGGAGATTCCACATTCCAGGACGCTTGGAAGGGCTTTGTGACCTCACACAAGCCTCAGGATGGAGCCATGGGATGGGAAGGGAAACTGACTTCTATGTTGGGGATCCTTCATTTGGAAGACCAGATCAGGCTGGCCCCAGATGGACTCAGCCCCCATCATGCTGGATCAGGCTAGTGGCCAGGGATGATGGGAACTGCAATCCATCTTGTGGGTCAATGTGGCAGAAGGGATTCTATCTTCATTCCTTTATCTATGTGAATTTTTCAGGAGAAAGAAATACCCTCCAACTGTCTGGATTTGGCAGGGACAGTCCCAAGTCATAGACTCAATGTATAAGTCTAGAATCATAGAGTTGGAAGAATCCACAAGAGCCATTCAATCCAGCCCCCTTCCATGCTGGAAAATACAATCAAAGCACCCCCGAAGGATAGCCACCAAGCTCATTGGCACCCCAAAAACAAGGTCAACTTATTCATGGGTCAATGTTAAGTGCTGTATGCCATGGTAGGGCAGCGGGAATTCTGCTGACCAAAGAGTCAGTAGTTTGAAGCCTCAAGTTGGAGTGAGCTCCCATCTGTCAGCCCTAGCTTCTGCCTACCTAGCAGTTCAAAGGCATGTAATGCGAGTAGATCAAAAGATACCGCCTCGGAGGGGAGGTAAAAGGATGCCCCATGTAGACATGCAGGCAACACAATTGGAGAAGTCTGTGAACAACAGACTCCTCAGCATAGAAAAATGGAACAAGAGCACCTCCCCATGGCTGGAGTTGAGCATCGCCTTCTGGAAATGGAAGGGGAAGGCCTTTACCTTTGTCTGTGTATTGTATGTTGTTATTTACTGTCTAAAAAGGCATTGAATGTTTGCCTTATATATGTAAAACTGTAATCCGCTGTGAGTCCCTCCAGGGTGATAAAGCAGAATATAAATAAAGTGTATTATTATTATTATTATTATTATTATTATTATTATTATTATTTACTACAACTCTAATAAAAAACTAGAATAGCAAAAGGTGAGAGTTCACACTGTCCTAGGAGAACCTAACAGAAGCACTGACCCACTTCTACTCTCTCTGCTTCGCCATCCCCTTGACCTTTTCGAATGCCACCTCTGACCTTTTTGGATGATAATGATCAGGGATAATTGGTTCCCTGCGACAGCATAAGTGCATTGTCTCTCTGCAGAATGACCATTGACTTATCCATAGGCCATATCAAAATTATAGATTCAGAAGTTGAAACATTAAATCCTGATTCTTTATCAAAATAATAATAATTAGGTAGACCAGGCCTCTGGGTCCAACACGTGAGGCTGTGGTGGCGCAATGGGTTAAATTCTTGTGCTGCCGATCTGTTGACCTGAAGTTGGCGGTTTGAATCCATGGCACGGGATGAGCTCCTGCCTCTTGCCAACCAAGCAGTTCGAAAACATGCAAACATGGGTAGATAAATAGGTACTGCTTTGGCGGGAAAATGCAAAAAGACACTCCAAGCAGTCATGCCAGCCAAATGACCAGGATGTGACAATGCAGGCTTCTCAGCTTGGAAATGGAGAAGAGCACCTCTCCCAGTGCCAGAGATAAGCATTGCCTACAGAGCCAGAAATGAAAGGAGAAGCCTTTGCCTTTGTCTATTTTTGTGTGTCTCGTTGTATTTGATTGTAACAAGAGATTGAATGTGTCTGTTTATATGCTGTAATTTGCTCTGAGTCCCCTTGGGAAGAAGGGCGGAAAGTGTTATTATTATGTTATTACTCTCTTCCAGATTTTTGAACCACAGTTCCCATAATCCCTTACTATCAATCATATTGGCAGAGGATTCTGGAAACTATACTCCAAAACAAGAAGAAGGAACAAGATAAATTATTTGGTTGTGGATGGCTCATGGGTGTGTGTTCCAGCAAACATGGCATTGGTTACTAAAGGCAGCACAACCACTGCGCCTTTATAGTAAATACTACTGACTTTTAAAACAGCATAAAAATATATGGCCCTTGTTGGAACACAGCTCCTGTCTTTCCCTTGATGATGAGACTTGCAGCCTAATAACATTTGGCAAGCCACATCTTCTCCCTGCCTCCTTTAAAGGAAATATGTTGCCTGAATAATTGGGAATGTCTTTTTAATTGTTTTAAGCACTGCTTAATTGATTCGATTAGTGTAAGCAATTTAGAACTCCAGAGCAATGGTTAGCAATCTTTTGTTGCGCATTTAGAATATCTATAAGACCAGTATGCAAGCCAATAAATTAATCACATATATAGCTAGACAGACAGACATAGAGAAGCATCACTCTTGCTGTATGTAATTTTTTCCTCTTACCTCCCAGGGGTGGGCGAAGGGTTTGTATTCGGAGATTCCATGAGGCTGAAAAAAATTAATAATAATGGTAAAATTGGACCTTTCAAGCAAAATTGGACCATACAAGCCAAGGTTTTATGACTGTTAAGTCAGCAAAAATGGTAGCTGCTTGTAAGAATGGTGCCAATCCCTGAGGATCCATAACATCAGGGTCATACGGACCCTGAGGGTCCGTATGATAGCATCATAGAATCATAGAGTTGGAAGAGACCTTGTAGGCCATTCAGTCCAACCCCTTGCCAAGAAGGAGGAAAATCGCATTCAAAGAATCGTCAAGCTTTGGCAAGAAATTGCTGAAACTGAGATGCAACACAAACCTTGGGCTCTGCCTTTGCAAATTTGCTATGTCTCCACCAAGCCTTATCATGACAACAAACTCCCACAAAAACATGCAAAAGAAAACTCTTAATGCACATAAGTGCTCTGTGGTTTGTGTAATCACCATCTGGGCATTGCACTGGATTTCCTATCTGCACAATGAAAATGTTTTCTTCAATACCAGTTTGAAACTGCATTAAATGGTCAGTGTAGATGGGGCCCCAGTCTTCCTGGCTCACAACTGTCCATCTCCCATTCTGAACTTAGAATCATAGAGTTGGAAGAGACCTCGTGGGCTATCCAGTCCAACACCCTGCCAAGAAGCAGGAAAAACAGCTTGATGATTCTTTGAATGCGATTCCAACTCCCTGCCCCAACAGATGGCCATCCAGCCTGTTCAAAAGCCTCAAAAGAATGATCCTCCACCACACTCTGTGGCAGAGAGTTCCACTGCTGAACAGCTCTTTCAGTCATGAAGTTCTTCTTAATGTTCAGGTGGAATCTCCTTTCCTGTAGTTTGAAGCCATTGTTCCATTGTGTCCTAGTCTTCAGGGCAGCAGAAAACAAGCTTGCTCTGGGTTGTTGTAGGTTTTTCGGGCTGTATGGCCATGTTCTAGAAGCATTCTCTCCTGACATTTCACCTGCATCTATGGCAGGCATCCTCAGAGGTTGTGAGGTCTGCCATAGATGCAGATCAAATGTCAGAAGAGAATGTTTCTAGAACATGGCCATATAGCTCGAAAAACCTACAACAACCCGTTAATTCATTCATGTTGTATTGTATTGTTTCGTATTTGTTGTTAGCCGCCTGAAGTCTTGATATCAGGAAAAAAGGCAGGATACACACATCTCTACTATTCAACCCTGACTCTTAACCTTCTATAGCACTGGATGTCAGTTTGTGGGGCACGGCTTAAGAGAAAAAAAACCCTTGGCCCTTAATCATCTTGTTCCATTCCTCTGTGAGACCATTGGTTGTGGTTTCCCTGTTTTGTATCTGCTCATTGTAGAAATGTCTAATGTCTCTCCCAAATCTGAGCTATTGGTAGAAAAGAGGTTAATCTAAAATACTGTTGTTATTTCTGCTTTTGGTTCAGCCCATCACTGGTATGTAGTCCCCAAGGACTTTTCTAAAATTGAGTTAGGTCACAGTCTGAAAGAAGTTCCACACCCTTGATTCAGGAACATCTGTTTCAGTCCTAAACATCTGCACTTCAGGCAGCGGCGGAAAGCCTACAACTCCCATCAGCCCCAAGTAGCAGGGCCAGTGGAAACATATAGAGACCCAAAACCTCCCCACTGGAACAAAAGCATTACAGGTGCTAAGACAGATAAGCAAAGCTTCCCTAAATGGCTTGTCCAGGGCTCAGGAAAATTTATATACTCTCCAACAGTCCCAAATTGGCTGGGACAGTTCTGATTAATCCAAGTTTATCAACTGCTTTCTGAATACTGCAGTTTCTCTCTGTGTTCCGATATTCATCTTTGATATGAGGATATGAACTTTTGATCCTCCAGATGTTGATGAATTACAATTCTCTACTTTTCTAACAACCGGTCAAGCTATCGGTACTTAGTTGCTGTGAGTTTTCCAGGCTGTATGGCCATGTTCCAGAAGCATTTTCTCCTGATGTTTTGCCCACATCTATGGCAGGCGCCCTCACGAGGTTGGGAGGTCTGTTGGAAACTAGGCAAATAGGGTTTATATATCTGAGGAATATCGAGGGTGTATCAGTACTGAATTCAGCAGTAACTGGAGGATGACAGGGTTTAAAACTGCAAAACAAGTAGACTAAATTATTTGACTTCAAAGGTTTGGGATATCAAGTCTTAGAATCCCTAGCTATTGGCCATACCAGCTAGAGTTGGGAGTCAAGAACATCTGAAGCACCAAAAGCAAGAGCCAAAAGTCTAGACAGCATTGAGATGGATCAGTGGTCCAACTCAGCACAGAACATGTGGATTTCAGAGCACCTGAAATTCAAAATCCTTTTAATGGTAGATTCTCAGTATAGAACTGGAAGTTTTTTCCATGCAAAGTATGTGCTCTGGATGATGAATTATTGCAACCTTTTTTTTCTTTTTTCATGTCAGGATCCACTTGAGAAACTGCAAGTTGCTTCTGGTGTGAGAGAATTGGCCATCTGCAAGGACGTTGCCCAGGGGATGCCTGGATGTTTCGATGTTTTACCATCCTTGTGGGAGGCTTCTCTCATGTCCCCATATGGGGAGCTGGAGCTGACAGAGGGAGCTCATCTACACTCTCCCCAGATTTGAAACCTCAGACCTGTCAGTCTTCAATCCTGCCTGCACAAGGGTTTAACCCATTGCGTCACTGGGGGTGCCAATCTGGAACCTTATAAAGCCATTATTCCCAAGACCATACTGTGGTAGAAGATCCAGGAACCTGATTCAGTTTGGTAGGGATAGACCAGGGATGTCAAATTCATTTTCAAGGGCCACATCTGCCTTATGTTTGCCTTCAAAGCACTGAACCCATGGACAGAGAATCCATGGATACAAATGTTGGAAATTACAACCTTATTCAAGCCTCCACTAGCAATTTGTTTGTATATGATTCTGTTTGCTTACTGTATTGTATATGCATGTTTTGGTATGCAGCTTTCCCTTTATTCTATGTTTTTGGGGTTGGGGGGGGGCTGCAGACCACATGATCAGATCTGAAACTGCTCAGACCTCAGACTCCATTAGACTCTCAGACTGTTAAGACTGTCTCTTACCTGCTTAGATTTTGAATTTTTAAGAGCAAACTTGTGTTGCTATTGATTGTAAGAAAGATGCCCGAAGCTATCTGCACAGAAAAACTACTTCAAACCTATCTAAAACCGGATTATCAAGTTATGTACCTGTATGCTGAATACAAGAAGGTTGTGAGCAAACCAAATATGTTACTTTTAAATAAGTCTACATTGTTTTTGTCTCTTGAGTGCAAGATATGGAAACAAGATGTTTTATGGTTGGCAGATCGGCGTGAGCATCCGACTACCAGCCCAGCTTACTGTTTACCTAAGCAGTTTGAATACAGCTTCAGCTGTAAGTAGAGAAATTAGGTACTGCTAAACAAGCAGGGAAGGTAATTTATGACACCATAAAGAAAAATATCAGAAAATGCCCAGCAACCAAAAGGAAGGAGGAAGTTCTGATGGCTCTTCACCCCCCACTCCCCCGTGGATGGATTCAAGCACAACCTTCCAAGGCGCCAAAAAGCTGGACTTCAACACAACATACCTTCATACCTCCAACATACTGTCTGTCTCTGTCCTGTCTGTCCAAAATGGCATTGAATGTTTGCCGTGTATGTGTACTGTGATCCTCCCTGAGTCCCCTTGGGGAGATAGGGCAGAATATAAATAAAGTAATATAATACAATAATACTATTATTATTATTATTATTAGCTGTACCCATGGTGTCTAATGATGAAGAATACAGGAGTTGTAGTCCAGTTTCTGGAAGGCCTCACAAAATGACACGGCAGGACGGTTTTGGACTGTGGACCTTGAATTTGACATATGTGGGATAGCCAATAGCCAGAAGTTGCATTTGCCCCATTTTAGGTCCTCCACAGGTGGAATGAAACTGGAAGTGACTGAGAAGTTCTGATTTTCCAAAAATCTTTGGGATTAATTCAGGGTTCTGGAAAAGGCCAAATATCCTCCATACCCCCAAAGGCATGATCCTCACATTTTTGCCTTGTTTTCCTCCAGCATCATGTGAACCACATTAAGTGGTCTTGTGGAACCTGCCCATGCCTGTTGAAAGGTACTGCTACCACTATATTCCTCAATTCTTTGGTTAGCACAGAGGAGAGATCAAATCAGGTGAGCAGATTTTTAAATATTTTATAGGCTACAAGGACTATAAAATATTATTTTGAAAAGCAATACCAGGAGGAAGCTGAAGACTGTGGGTTAAAAGAATAGAGGTTGCCCATTCCAGGTATCTCTTGTTGCTCTGAGATGGACAGGACAGAATTAGCCTCCTTAAGGATTAACAAAACACGAGTAAGAGCCAAGAAATCTCTCTCTCTCTTGCACACACACACCAGACCCATATAGCTTACCTCTTATGTCTTGGAGATACTTGGTCTGGAGCAGGATCTAGCTCCATCTGGCAGGGAGAAAAAAAAGGAAGGAAATGGTTATGACTGCATCCGATGACTTTAAAAACAAATCAGTGCTCTCTCCCTCCTGCTCATGGCCCACACATTCCTCCAACCCAGGAGCCTTTCTGTTCTAAATTAACAGACTCTGATGCACTTCCCCACCCCGAAGAAGCCAGGAGTCTTTTCTGTTTTCTCTTTCCCACTGTGAGAAGACATTTGATCCCACTCCAAAGGCAACCCAAAGGCCTTCACTCTGAAAACGTTGTCCCCAATATCCCTGATCCCCATTCTTTGCTAGTCTGCTAAGCAACAGTTTATGACCAACACAATACATCAACATTCGCCACCTCCCACCCAAGACACCTTCTCACCCTCTTCCTAGAGAATCCCAGCCTCTCAAATCTCAGCCATGCAAAGCTTAGATTGAATCCTGCCCTTTATCTCTCTTTTTCTCTCCAGGGCTGACGCTGCTTTCAAATTGCAGCTATGAAGGCGGACAGGCGGTGTGTGTGTGTGTGGTTGTGTGTGTTGAGCAGTTCGTCCTCCCCCACCAAACCAGCATTGCACAGTCTCTCTTGTCTAATCAGCTTTGTCTGTCTTAAATCCTTAGGACTTGCGGCTTCCTGGAAAGGTGCATTATTTCTTTTCAATGGCTTCGGAGCCAGGCATGCGCTTGATGTGAAGCATCAGGTGTGTGTTTCCTGGTGCGGGAATGAATTTAGAGGAAGCAAGAGGGGAAATGTGCCCACGCAAGTGCCAGAGACAACAGAATGTGTCTATGGGTGCATCTACACTGTAATATTAATTCAGTTTGACGCTACTTTAACTACCCTGACTACTAGCACTGGCAACTGGGACGTGGAACAACGGCTTCAAACAACAGGAAAGGAGATTCACCTGAACATTAGGAAGAACTTCCTGACAGTGAGAACTGTTTGGCAGTGGAACTCTCTGCCACAGAGTGTGGTGGAGGCTCCTTCTTTGGAGGCTTTTAAACAGAGGCTGGATGGCCATCTGTCAGGGATGCTTTGAATGCATTTTTCCTACTTCTTGGCAGGGGATTGGTCTGGATGGCCCATGAGGGCTCTTCCAACTCAACGATTCGACCAGCTCAGGCTACATCTCCCTGTTGGCTGTGGCCATCCCCAGCTCCTTCAAAGTCACGCCAATCACTTCAAGGATGCTATCCATCCATCCATCTTGCCCTTGCTGGGCCCTTCTTCCTTTTTCCTTCAATTTCCCCCAGCATCATTGTCTTTTCCAAGCTTCCTGTCTTCTCATTATGGAGACCGAAAAATTTCATTCTCTCAGTTGGCGGAAACCCCTCCCCTGATTCTTTACGTTTGTCTCAGGCATCACAACAACAACAACAACGACAACAACAACAACAGCAATTTATTACACTTCCCTCTCCTAAATCCTTATATTGAAAAGTCCTAATTGTAAACATAGAAGTGCTACCTACCTACTGCTAGAGCTTTAGAAGGTTATTTTGAGGGACTACAACTCCTAGAATCCCCTTATTTCCACAACTAGCAACAATCCCAAGGTGGCTATTGCTGCTAATACTGTAGTTCCAATAGCTTTGTCAAACAGTATTTAAGTGACCCACTGTCCCTACATTTATGTAAATCAGTGGTTCTCAGCCTTTTTTTGACCAGGGACCACGTGGACCAGGGACCACTCCAACATTAGTACCAAAAGGGCTATGAATTAGTTTTTGGCCAACTTTAGAATCGGTTTGTTATTTGGGGTGCTGATTCAGAAAATTGCATTGGATAGACTACATCAGCTCTAGTTTCTGATACAGAACACATGCCATCCAGTAGTTGCCATCAGAAAACCATATTTAATGAGCCTTGGCACTATAAGAAGGTTTTGTGTCACTCTTGTTGCAACGGTGGATAGGCGGTGGCTGCGGATCATATTTTAGTTCCCACGAACCACTGGTGTTTCACAGGCCACAGATTGGGAACCACTGATGTAAATGATATACTGTGGAAAAGTCTATTTCTTTTAGCTGGCCCACAACCAATCACTTTTATAGGTCAGTTTTCCTTAAGCTAACACTTTTCAGATTTGTTGGATTACAGCACCCATTCTCAGCTTCATCTTGCTGCAGTCATCATCTCAGTTAACCATGTCTGAAGTGATGGGAATTACAATCCAACTGGAAGGCAGTAGGTTGTATTGGATTATAGCACCCAACATCTCAGCTTCATATTGCAGCAGTCATAGTCTCAATTAACCTGCTGTCTGAAAGGATGGGACTTATAATCCCATACAACTAGAAGGAAGTGGGTTGTATTGGATTATAGCACCCATCATCTCAGCTTCATCTTGCAGCAGTCATAGTCTCAGCTAACCTGCTGACTGAAATGATGGGAATTATAATCCAATACAACTAGAAGGCAGTAGGTTGTATTGGATTATAGCACCCATCATCTCAGCTTCATCTTGCAGCAGTCATAGTCTCAGTTAACCTGCTGGCAGAAATGATAGGAGTTATAATCCAATACAACTGGAAGACAGTAGGTTGAGGAAGCTGTTGGGATTATCTTGAGTTCCTCTGGACAACCTGTTGGACTACAGCTCCCATCATCTCGACATTCATCATCATTCCTGTTAGCATGGCCCTGCTGGCTCACATGATGGAAATTATCATCCAACATATTTGGAAAAAACTATGTCAGGAAAAGCTGTCATTGGACTACAATTCCCATAATCTCATCTACTTTCTCCACCCTATCAACAACATATGATCATAATTCATAACAACACATGTATTCTCAGTAGCACAAAATCGATTTAAAAACAAACCAACCAGTTTATAATCTTACCTCCTTCTGAAGAGTCTGTCTTTTCGAGACACTCAAGTCATTCCAACCAAACATGGCTCAAAGTCGATAGTAAGTATCCTCTTTAGGAATCAGCCACAAATTATATTGCTCAGTCTATATAATCAAGTCACAGTCGTCACCGTTTTTGCAAAAATGCCCCAAGTTCTTACGCAGCATTACTGCCGGTGAAGAACAAATTCACTACAAGAACTTGAGATTAACAAATGAATTCACATTTCAAATTTTTCACTAAAAATAAAAATAATGTTTTCTCTCCTGCCACGCACAGCAGCTGCCTAAGCCCAGGTTGATTTGGTGACCAGGGCAGGGCTAGTCAAACATATTCCGTCTTTGTGACTGGACAATGGGTAACCATGGCACTGGCAAGGGACAAAGGATTAAACCAGTGTTCCATTCCAGAATCAGGATCCTAGAGATGGAAGAGGCCACAAGGCCCATCCAGGGACACACCATCAAAGCACTCCTGACAGATGGCCATCCAGACTCTGATTAAAAACTCCAGGTCACTAGTATTCACCAGCGCATCCACACTGTAGAATTACCGCAGTTGGATACCGCTTGCACCACCATAGTTCGGTGCTAAGGAATCTTGGATGTTGGTCTTTGGCACCTCGAAGAACTATAACTTCCATGATAATAATAATAATAACAATAATGCCTGGGTTACGATGTTGTAACCCAGGCATTGGCAGATTTGGGCCCTCTAGGTGTTTTGGATTTCAACTCCCACAATTCCTAACAACCGGTAGGCTGTTAGGAATTGTGGGAGTTGAAGTCCAAAACACCTAGAGGGCCCAAGTTTGCCCATGCCTGGGTTACAACATAGGTAAAACCCATAATCATTATAAAGATTTTGTAAATATACATATCTATATCTATTTCTATAAAATATATTTATTTATTTATTTACTTCACTTATATACCGCTGTTCTCAGCCCGAAGGCGACTCACAGCGGTTCACAACAAATAAGAACAGCAAAAATTCAATGCTACAGTGTAAAAACAGTTAACAACCTAACATATTACACAATTAATAAACAATTACTACAATAACCATTCACTATTCACTATCTCATCATCAAAAACATGATCCATATTGAAACATATTTCTATGAAATACTTATTAAAACACATACATTAAAATGCATGATTCCATAGCATTCAGCCATGGCAGTTCAAGTGGTGCTAAACTGCATTAATTACAGTGCAGATCCACCTTTAGTTCCCATTTGTGGCTGATTTCATCTGCCTAACTGTAGTCAGTTTATTTCACGTCAATTTCTCTTTGATATGACTTCTTGTCTGATATGCCGCATTGATTCCCCTTCGGGGGAGATAAAGCAGGGTGTAAATAAATATAATAAATACAATAATGGGTCGCTGTGAATTTTCCGGTCTGTATGACCATGTTCCAGAAGCATTCTCTCCTGACATTTTGCCCACATCTAAGGCCGGCATCCTCAGAAAATTCCAGACAATAATCAATTAGGGCCAGCTGACAGCTCTCAACAAAGGGTTCTCCCAGGCAGGAAACAGCCAGCCTTTGAAGCTGCAAGGCCTTTCAGCGCTAATCAAGGTGACCAATTGCAACATCCACACTTGCCTCAAGCAGACAAGAGTTCTTTCTCCCACCCTGGACATTCCACAGGTATATAAACCCCACTTGCCTAGTTTCCAACAAACCTCAAAACCTCTGAGGATGCCTGCCATAGATGTGGGTGAAATGTCAGGAGAGAATGCTTCTGGAACATGGCCATATAGACCGGAAAACTCACAGAAACCCAGTGATTCCGGCCATGAAAGCCTTCGACAATATGATGATGATGATGATGATGATAATAATAATAATATCTTAAGCTCTGTAAAATCCTAACTTTGAGTAAGATGGTTTAAAAGGAACATAATAATGATAATGTTGATAATAATAATAATAATCAGCTCAGTAAAATCCCAACTTTGAGTAAAATGGTTTAAAAGGAATATCATAATCATCAACATCATCATCACTGATTCCTGACTAAACTACAAATCCCAGTTTGAATTTCGAGATGTGCATCTACACTATAGAATTAATGCCGTTTGATACTACTTTAACTGCCATGGCTCAATGCTTTAGGATCCTGGGATTTGATAAGTCACCAGCACACTTTGGCAGAGAAGTCTGAAGGCCTTGTCAAACTACAGCTCTCAGCATTCTGTAGCATTGTGCAATGGTGGTTAAAGTGGAGTTAAACTGCATTAATTCTACAGTGCAGATGCACTTTTGAGAATTTGAGTTCGAAACATTTGGAGGTCAAAAAGTTCCTTAACCCATTTTAAAAGAAATTGAGTTTTAAGCATTTCTCAAAAACTGGGTTGTTGTAGGTTTTTTCAGGCTATATGCCCATGTTCTAGAGGCATTTTCTCCTGACGTTTCGCCTGCATCTATGGCAAGCATCCTCAGAGGTAGTGAGGTCTGTTGGAACTAGGAAAAAGGGTTTATATATCTGTGGAATGACCAGAGTGGGACAAAGGACTCTTGTCTGTTGGAGCTAGGTGTGAATGTTTCAACTTGATTAGCATTTGATTGCCTGGCAGTGCCTGGAGCAATCTTTTGTTGAGAGGTGATTAGATGTCCTTGTTTGTTTCCTCTCTGTTGTTGTGTTGCTCTAATTTTAGAGTTTTTTTTAAATACTGGTAGCCACATTTGGTTCATGTTCATGGTTTCCTCCTTTCTGTTGAAATTGTCCACATGCTTGTGGATTTCAAAAAGCAATTTATTTTTACAGATAAAATAAATTATAGGTTCTTGTGGGTTTTTTCGGGCTATAGGGCCATGTTCTAGAGGCATTTCTCCTGACGTTTCGCCTGCATCTATGGCAAGCATCCCCTAAACACACACATACACAAAACCTCAGCAAAGAACCTAGTGATTCCAGCCATGAAAGCCTTCGACAATAGATAAATTATAACTCATTTGTTTAGTTCAGCAAAGGTTTTCTTCTTCTTTTTCTCCAAACTTAGAAATCTGCTTCTGTTGGACCTACTGTGGATTCCTTGTGAAATAAGAAAAGAGTGTTCCTGAGCATAAGCAGACTGCATTTGTAAACAAGTCACAGAAGAACTGCTCAGTACTCAGACTCATTCCTAAAAACATCTTGAAGTCTCCTTTAACTCTATTGAAGTTTCAGAACAGTATTGCCTATATTTTGGTCTTCTGGGTGTTTTGGACTTCAACTCCCAGGATCCTTGATTATTGCCTACAGCAGCAGAGGCTTCTGGGAGTTGAAGTCCAAAGGGAGGAAAGGAAGTGCTTCGGGAACCTTCAGGGGGCGGGGAGGTATGCTAATAGCGTGGGGAAGGGGCGTGGCCTGGTTTTAGCTCCGCCCCCACAATCCAGAGAATGACGCACAAGGCAGCACCGGACGTGACACAAGGAGGAGGTGGCGTGGCAGCGCAAGAACCCAAGGCTGGAATAAGGGGGCGTGGCTAGTTATGCAGATAGAGGGGCGGAGCTTAGGAGGGATTGAGGAAGCAGAGTGGAGAAAGTGGTGGAACCTTCAGGCGCAGAGGAGAGAGGTAGGTCTTGGCCAAGGGCTCCTCTGAGCATGTGCAGAGAGCTTTTGATTTTGTCATCACGGATCTAGGCCCTTCCTCCTACATTTTTTGGTTTCTAAAAATTAATCTTTCCAAATGGAAGAGTTTTTCCACTACTTTAAAAAAAGGCATACTGTATTGCTAGGGCTACAGGCTGAGTATCCCTTATTTGGAATAGTAACAAGATCTTTGATTTTGGATGTTTTCTTGAATACTTGTATTTGCAAATATAATATATAATATAATATACATTTATTAATATAATATATGTTGTATTATAATATAATGTAATATATATTATAATATGTTATAATAAAATAAAATATATAATCTATATAAATAAAAATGTAATGTTAGTTTGTGGGATTAACATAACTCAAAAACCACTGGACGAATTGACACGAAATTTGGACACAATATACTTAACAGTCCAATGAGGGTCCATCCTCCCTAAACACACACATACACAAAACCCCAGCGAAACAGATTTAAAAACTCAAAAAACACACCATATATACATATACACATACACTCATATACACATGCACGCATTCATACACACACACGTATATATATGCACAAACACACACAAATATGCACATATACACACATACATATATACATATACACATACACATGCACACATACATGCACATATACATATATACACATGCACACACATATACACACAAATATGCTTATAGACAAGCACACACATATACACAGTATGAATGTATACATATAAAAACATAAATATATTCAGACATATATATATACACCCACATATATACATATATATACACAAACACTTGAAGTGACTGGATTGACCTTGAAGGAGCTGGGGGTGGTGATGGCCGACAGGGAGCTCTGGCATGGGCTGGTCCATGAGGTCACGGAGAGACGGAAACAACTGAAAAAATGAACAACAACATACAAACACACATATATACACAAATAGAAACACACACATAAACACATACATGCACACACAAAACACATATACACAGACTGGGCTACAGCAACATGTGGCAGGGGATACAAACACTTGAAGTGACTGGATTGACTTTGAAGGAGCTGGGGGTGGTGACGGCCGACAGGGAGCTCTGTCATGGGCTGGTCCATGAGGTCACGAAGAGTCGGAAACGACTGAACGAATGAACAACAACATACAAACACACACATATACACAAATATAAACACACACATACACACACAAAACACATATACACAGACTGGGCTACAGCAACGTGTGGCGGGGATGGCTAATATAATATAATATAATTTTTATATATTAGTATAATGATATATCTTGCACATGGGATCCAAGTCTAAACAAGAAATCTATTTGTTTCTTATGGAGGTAGCCTAAGGTAATTGAATACAATATTTTAAAATAATCTTGTGAAGGAAATAAAGTTTGTGTACAGAAAGTAAAAGTCTCACTATCTCAGCCACCCATGTGGAAAATGTTGAAATTTGGGGTACTTTGGATTTTCAGATAAGAGAGGCTCAACCTGTATTTAATTGCTTTTTAAGTGCTTATATCCATATTTTAATTTTAATTCGTTCAATGTATTGTTGAAGGCTTTCGTGGCTGGAATCACTGGGGTGTTGTAGGTTTTTTGGGCTATATGGCCATGTTCTAGAAACATTCTCTCCTGACGTTCTGCCTGCATCTATGGCAGGCATCCTCAGAGGTTGTGGATGCTGCCATAGATGCAGGCAAAACGTCAGGAGAGAATGCTTCTAAAACGTGGCCATACAGCCCAAAAAACCTACAACAATCAGTTAATTGTTAGCCGCCTTGAGTCTTGATATGGGGGGGGGGGGGGGGGGTGAGAAGCAAGTTACAAAGAAATAAAAATAAAATATTTGGTTAGTTAAATTATTTTCTTTTAAGCTCAAGCTTTCCAGACAGCTCTATTGTCTGAGCTTGCTTTCAGGAAGAGGAAAAGAAATTGAAGTGTTTCTGAGTTTATTCTTTTGCTTTCTGCTTTATTGTTCTTAAATCCTATATTCAGGGATAGGTAACCCATGCCCTCCAGGTCCTTTAGACTGGACATCCCATCAATTCAGGCCAGGATTGTGGCAGTTGTAGTCCAAAATACCGATCAGGTTTCTTCTCTTTGTCTGAACGGTATCAAAGGCGTTCATGGCCGGAATCCCTGGGTTTCTGTGCCATGTTCCAGAAGCATTCTCTCCTGACATTTCCACCACGTTTATGGCAGGCATCCTCAGAGGTTGAGGGTTCTGTTGGAAACTAAGCAAGTGAGGTTTATATATCTGTGGAATGTCCAGTGTGGGAGAGAGAACTCTTGTCTAAGGCAAGTGTGAATATTGCAGTTGACTCTCTTTTAGCATTGAATGGCCTTTCAGCTTCAAACCCTGTCTGCTTCATGCCTGGGTGAATCTTTTGTCTAAAATCAGGATAGTAAATAAAGAACAATACTCAGAAACAGGGGAATTCCAGACAAGAAACCATCAAGGTCAGCTAATCAACTCTCAACAAAGGATTCCCCCAGGCAGTAAGAAGCCAGATCTTGAAACTGCTAGGCCATTTAATGGTAATCAAGGTGGCCAGTTGAAACATTCACACCTACCTCAAACAGAGGATTCCCCAGGCATAAAGCAGTCAGGCTTTGAAACTGAAATGCCACCCAGTGCTAGTCAAGATGGCCAATTGCGACATGCACACTTGACTCAAGCAGATAAGAGTTCTTTTTCCCACCCTGGATATTCCACAGATATATAAACCTCACTTGCCTAGTTTCCCACAGACCTCGCAACCTCTGAGGATGCCTGCCATAGATGTAGGCGAAATGTCAGGAGAGAATGCTTTTTGGAACATGGCGATACAGCCTGGAAAACTCACAGCAACCCATTAACATGTTAATCCTATGGCTATGTCACTGTGGCATGAGGATGCTTTTCTTTCTCTTCTTATCCCTTGACTGCCCTTGAGATATTGCTGAACTTCAACTTCCATCTGATCTACCTGTTGTTATTGTTTTTATTCATCTTATTAGTGGTATTATATTTATAATATTTATTTCCATCCCAGTTTCCTCTCTTAAAGGGGACTCAAAGTGGCTTCGTCTGAGTGAAGAATGCTGGGAGCTGCACTCATTGCCTTGTTGTCATCCCTTCTCTTCTCATTTCAGGCAACAGGCACATAAGGTGATGCTCCTGTCGTGGTTGGTGAGCGCTGCCCTTTTAGGGTTGGCTGCCTGTGTTCCTATTGAGCGACCCAAAGAGAAACAAGAAGCAGAGACTCCACCCGAGGCTCCGGTGAGTGTTATAGTCCTTGCCCTTTCCCCATTGCACTGCCTCTAAACAAGTGCCCTTTGGTCGCCTTGCTGGCACAGAGGGTTGATGGATCTTAGATGCCAATATAACGTTATATCTTCACTTGGCGTCACCTTCCTCACCATTGTTCCACAGCAAGCCCAATTCAGAGTGGAAACCTATATGGCCTTTCAGGTGTCATTGGCGTGGAATTCCTACCAGCCCTCCACATTGGTTATATAGCCAGCCCTCTGTATCCATGGATTCTGCATCCATAAAGCTAACCACCCAAAAGCAAACCATTTTATGTAAGCACTAGCCGTCCCCTGCCACGCGTTGCTGTGGCACAGATGGGGGTTCTGTGTGAGAGGTTTGGCCCAATTCTATCGTTGGTGGGGTTCAGAATGCTCTGTAATTGTAGGTGAACTACAAATCCCATCAACTACAACTCCCAAATGTCAAGATTCTATTTTCCCCAAACTCCACCAGTGTTCACATTTGGGCATATTGAGTATTCGTGTAGAGTTTGGTCCAGATCCATCATTGTTTGAGTCCACAGTGATCTCTGGATGGAGGTGAACTACAACTCCAAAACCAAAGGACACTGCCACCAAACCCTTCCAGTATTTTCTGTTGGTCATGGGAGTTCTGTGTGCCAAGTTTGGTTCAATTCCATCTGATGGGGTTCAGAATGCTCTTTAATTGTAGGTGAATTATAAATCCCAGCAACTACAACTCCCAAATGACAAAAAAGATTTTTTTTGAGTGAAGGACATACATAGGGTTGTTAGGTGTCTTTATGTCCAAATTTGGTGTCAATTCGTCCAGTGATTTTTGAGTTCTGTTAATCCCACAAACAAACTACATTTTTAATTATATAGATCACCATTTTACTACAGTATTGTATGTAATAGGGATTGAGAAATCATAAATATTGTTATCCATTGGGGGGGTGGCAGCTTTGAACCATACTGTGGCAGATATCAAGTAACCATTCTACTGGAATACAAGTTTATGACATTGACTCTCTCTCGATTTCCAACCGGAGTGGCACTCAGAGAGCATATAACTTCTCTGTTATGTCAGCTCCACTGGCTGCCAGTCTGCTACCAAGCACAGTTCTAAGTGCTGGCTTTAGCCTATAAAGCAGGTATGGGCAAACTTCGGCCCTCCGGGTGTTTTGGACTACAACTCCCACAATTCCTAACAGCCTACTGAAGTCCAAAATACCTGGAGGGCCGAAGTTTGCCCATGCCTGCTATAAATCCCTAAATGGTTCCATCCCTGCTTATCGGTTCGAGTGCATCTCTCTCTAGGATCCAACTCGGATGTTAAGACCTTCTGGGGAGGCCCTGCTCTCAGTCCCACCTCCTTCGCAGGTGTGGTTAGTGGGGATGAGGGACAGGGCGTTCTCAGTGGTGGCCCTTTGGCTATGGAACTTCCTTCTTCAGCGAAATTAGATCAGCTCCCTCCCTTCTGGCTTTCAGAAAGCAATAAAAAACATGGCTGTGGGACCAAGACTTTGGACAGTAAATGCGGTACAATAAGTGAAGTTGAAATATGTGCAGTCACCACTGGAATGACTCCTTGACTATGATTTCGGATTGTGCAGTTTTTAATAATTGGCTTTAATGTTTATATGCTTTTTATTATTTATTTATTTTGTTATATGTCTGTTTTATGTGGCATCGAATTGTTGCCTATTGTAAGGCTGCTCTGAGTCCCCTTTGTTGCGAGAAGGGCAGGGTATAAATACAGTAAATCAATCAATATTTACCTTTTAATGGCACCACAACTTCCTTTTTCCTTCCTCTGCCTAAGTGGAAATTTTTAGCATTGGGAGGATGGTGAAAGAGGGCTGGAAAAACAAAGGCATTTTAGTATATGGTTATAATAGCGTTATATGCAGTAAACATTACAATAAACTAAGTTGGATCTATCTGTCTGTCTGTCTGTCTGTCTATCTATCTATCTATCTATCTATCTATCTATCTATCTATCTATCTATGGATTCTATCAGACTAACAAAGGCTGGCTCTGGAGTCCCTTACTGAGCATAGCAAAGGTAAAGGTTTCCCTTTGACATTAAGTGTAGTCATGTCTAACTCTGGGGGTTGGCATCATCTCCATTTCTCTGCTGAAGAGCCGGCGTTGTCAGTAGATGCCTCAAAGATCATGTGTCCAGCACGACTTCATGGAGCGCTGTTACCTTCTCGCCGGAGCGGTACCTATTGATCTACTCACATTTGGATTCTAGGTTGGCAGAAGCTGGGGCTAACAGCAGGAGCTCACCCTACTCCCTGGATGCAAACTGCCAACCTTTTGGTCAGTCAATTCAGCAGCTCAGCGGTTTAACCTGCTGCACCACCAGGGTCTCCCTTACTGAGCATATACGAGATAAAATAAGGAAAAGCAGATAAGGCTACCTTACCTACTGTCAAAAAATCAAACATATAAGTTTGGCTATCAAAATGGAAATCATTAAAGAAATTGGAGCCTGGTGGAAATTTTTAAAAATCCCTCAATATCTTTTGGGTAAAACTTTCAGGTGGTCTCTAAAATGTTTGAAATATTTTTGTTCTTGACATGCTTATTTTTTTCATAAGGCTTGTCTGACCTAGTTATTTTGAGACTTATTTTTGTGCAAGTCCTATTTTTGCTAAGACTCACCTGACCTAGTTATTCCATTTCATAGGTGTTAGATTTTGATAAAATGTTTTCTGAAACATGTTGGAATCGCTATTCTATTTTTGTAGTAAAATAATCTATTATTATTATGTCACATGTTAATTCTGATTCCGGTTCTATATTGTCTTTTGCAGAAATAATACTCAGAAGCATGTGTACTTGGTTAACTAAAATATGCCACTGTGGGTTAAGTTAAATAGGGCTTAACAATCCAGCAGCATCTCTACAGCAACACTTTCCCATCCTTGGCTTAGTTATGATATTAGAGTGGGGGGAAAAAAGGAAAAGGTGAGGTGGCACTTAAGCTCCTTCTACACTGCCATAAAATCCAGTTCAAAAGAGATAATCTGGGTTTTATATGGCAATATGGTCCAGATCCATCATTGTTTGAGTCCACAGTGATCTCTGGATGGAGGTGAACCCCCCCCCCCCCGGTTGCGCAGTGGGTTAAACCGCTAAGCTGCAGAACTTGCTGACCAAAAGGTTGGCGGTTTGAATCCAGGGAGTGGGGTGAGCTCCCTCTGTTAGCCCCAGCTTCTGCAAACCTAGCAGTTCAAAACATGCAAATATGAGTAGATCAATAGATACTGCTGCGGAAGGTAACAGCACTCCATGCAATCATGCTGTCCACATGACCTTGGAGGTGTCTATGGACAATGCTGGCTCTTCGGCTTAGAAATGGAGATGAGCACCATCCTCCCAGAGTCAGACATGACTAGACTTAATGTCAATGGAAATATTTACCTTTACTTAGAAGGGGTCTTAGTCTTTCAGAATGTTTTTTGCTCTGAATTCTTATGGCACAGGTGAACATATATGATAATGTGTTGTCGAAGGCTTTCATGGCCGGAATCACTGGGTTGCTGTGAGTTTTCCAGACTGTATGGCTATGTTCCAAAAGCATTTTCTCCTGACATTTTGCCTACATCTATGGCAGGCATCCTCAGAGGTTGTGAGGTCACAACCTCTGTGGATACCTGCTATAGATGTGGGCGAAACATCAGGAGAGAATGCTTCTGGAGCGTGGCTGTATCCCACCGAAAAACTCATAGCAACCCATATATGTTGATGTTCATTCAGCAGCGTTAAGTTCCACAGTGCAACTCCCAGCCAGGCTTTGAGATCAGGTGACTTTTGATGGGATATTTTCTCCACCTCTCACTCGGTTACAAATTCACATTGCACCCACGAATCTAAACCCAGCAGTCCACAGTGGAGATCTATTAGATGAGTTCAGGAAAGCTGTTTCTCTACTATTCCATGATACACATTAACATGATTTCCTAACAGGCAGAGATTAATCATTAACCACACTCAGGCACCTGAACTTCTGCTCCCAAAAGTGATTTCCGTGTGCTTTTCCTGTTGAATTACCTCCATGACAATGTCTTATCTTGTTAGAATTTACATTTTTTTCCCCTCAATCACTGGATGGGAAACATTGGCCTTCCACATGGTTTGGATAGCAACTTACATAATCCTTTACCACTGGCAGTGCTATCTGAGCCTTCAGGGAGTTGTCCTACAAAGAATGTATTCCCAAGATCTAGTCCTCCTAGTGTTTTGGACTACAACTGTCTTACCCAATGATCAAAAATTCTGGGAGCTGTAGTCCAAAATATCTGGAGGACCATTATATGGGAAACATTGATCTAGAGTAGTGTTTCTCAACCTTCCTTATGCCGTGACCCCTTAGTACAGTTCCTCATGTTGTGGTGACCCCCAAATATAAGAATATTTTCGTTGCTACTTCATAACTGTAATTTTGCTACTGTTATGAATCGTAATGTAAATATATGATATACATGATGTATCTTCATTCACTGGACCAAATTTGGCACAAACCCCCGATACGCCCAAATTAGAATACTGGTGGGGTTTTGGGGGGATTTACTTATTTATTATTTACTATATTTTTACCCCACTCTTCTCAACTCCCGAGGGGGGACTCGGAGCAGCTAACACTGGCAACAATTCGATGCTGCAATATCATAAAATAAAACAATATACAACTATAAAACCACAATAGATTAAAATAATAACATTAATTATACAATCATATCCATTTCCATTATCATAACAATCATCATATGGTCCAGTTCAATGTCCAAAGTGCTATTGTGCCTGCTAGCCAAAGCCTGGTTCCAAGACCACAATTTCAGTTTTTTTCTAAAGAAAAGGAGGGAGGACGCCAATCTAATCTCACTGGGGAGCAAATTCCACAAGCAGGAGGCCACCACCGAGAAGGCCCTGTCCCTCGTCCCCACCAGACGCGTTTGTGAGGCCGGTGGGACAGAGAGCAGGGCCTCCCCGGTGGATTTTAACTACGAGGCAGAACGTAGAGGGAGATACGTTCGGACAAGTAAGCTGGGCCGGAGTTATATAGTTGTTTTTGTCATTTGGGAGTTGTCGTTGCTGGGATTTATAATTCATCTACAATCAAAGAGCATTCTGAACTCCGCCAACGATGGAATTGAACCAGACTTGGCCACACAGAACTCCCATGGTCAGCAGAAAATACTGGAAGGGTTTGGTGGGCATTGACCTTGAGTTTTGGAGTTGTAGTTCACCTACATCTAGAGAGCACAGTGGACTCAAGCAAGGGTGGATCTGGATCAAACTTGACATGAATACCCAGTATGCGGTGGTGGAGTTTTCAGAAAATAGACCTTAACATTTGAGAGTTGTAGTTGCTGGGATTTATAGTTCACCTACAGCCGGAGAACATTCTGAATCCCACCAACGATAGAATTGGGCCAAACTTCCTGTACAGAACCCCCATGCCTTGAAGGCTTGCGCAAGCCAGCCTAGCACACTCTCCCTCGCACGCACATGCGCACAACACTGTCATGCACTGAGCACACCTGCTCTCCCCTCTCCACTTGGGGTCTCAGAAACAGCCCTCCCTTTGGCTGAGAGGCTGGTCAATCACAGCAGAGGAGGGCTTTGGTGGGAGGATTTGTAGTCTGTTTCCAAAAAGGAAGAGAAGGACATGCGGAGAGATCTTCAGCCTTCTCTGACAAAGATGTTCCTAAGACCATCAGAAATATATGTTTTCTGATGGTCTTCGGTGACCCCTCTGAACCCCCCCCCCCCCCAAGCGGTCCAGACCCCCAGGTTGAAAAACTAGATTGTAGAAAGACAAAGTTTCTCGTTCCATCATGCAGTACTTTCCCAGATTTTAGATTAGTATTTTTGGAGATAATAGGAAATGAATTTGGGAATGTTTTTCATTCAAAGATTGACTACTTTTCAGCACCTCTGCAGATAATATCTAAGTGGCCTGATTCCTTGCACTGTCCTTTATGCAGGACACTGGCCTTTATTATCACCGCTATCTCCAAGAAGTTATCAATGTGCTGGAAACGGATGGACACTTCCGAGAAAAGCTTCAGGCGGCCAATGCTGAAGACATTAAGGTGAAAATTGGGATGGAGTAGTGTGGGTTTCTGTGTGCTGGCAAGTACAATTTATCCTTCTCAAGACATTTTGGAAGGTGGTAAAAAGGTGACTTTCCTGGGGACACGGTATAGATTCTAGTGGTGGTGTTGCATATAGGATTTCTTTTGCTTTGAAAGGGAAAATGCCACGGTTCAACTGGATTAATGTGAAACCTCAAATATGGAGTATTCATTTACAGTGAAATCAATGCAGTACACAGGATCCAATGTTAAATCTAGACTTGGCTTTAAATCTCTAAGCTTAATTACTCCATCTAACCCATCTCATGGGATTGTTGTAAAGATTAAAGGCTGGAGTGTATATAATATAACTGGTAGTGTATTATATATATTATAGAATAATATAGTACAATATCATAATAATAATAATAATAATAATAATAATAATAATAATTGTATATTATATATTACATATAATATTACTAATAATGCAGTGGAGTGGTATAGTACAATATATTTTTTTGTCGTGTCAGGAGCAACTTGAGAAACTGCAAGTCGCTTCTGGTGTGAGATAATTGGCTGTCTGCAAGGACGTTGCCCAGGGGACGCCCGGATGATTTGATGTTTTTATCATCCTTGTGGGAGGCTTCTCTCATGTCCCCGCATGAGGAGCTGGAGTTGATAGAGGGAGCTCATCTGCCTCTCCCCGGATTCGAACCTGTGACCTGTTGGTCTTCAGTCCTGCCGGCACAGAGGTTTAACCCACTGCGCCACCGGGGGCTCCATAGTATAATATAATAATATATAATACTAAGATTGTGCTGTGCTAGTAATATAATAATTGTATATACATATAATAATAATATGTAATACAATATAATACTAATAATACTATATAATATATATTATTTTAATATAATAATACTAATATATTAAATATAATATTAATAATTTAGAATAATATATAATGATAATACTGTTTTACTATTATATATTTTAAGTTGTTTTAATTGTAAGCTGCTTTGAGATAAAGCAGGATATAAAATAAATAAATTAAAGCAAATCTATCATGGGGGGAAGGATAGGATACACATTTAATAAATAGTCATTTTCTCTCTTGAATGTGTTTCAGAGTGGAAAACTCAGCAAAGAGCTGGACTTTGTCAGCCACCATGTCCGTACCAAACTGGACGAGCTCAAGCGTCAGGAGGTGTCCCGGCTCAGGATGCTTCTGAAGGCCAAAATGGATGCTACCATGGAACAAAGTAAGCTGGGCTTCCAGATGCTCCTGAAGGGGCTTAGAATAAAATATGCTGAAAGTCAGGAATCTTGAGCAGGCCTCAGGAAAGCAACCTTTTTGAACTACGTCTCTCAATTATTACTGGATCTAGAAGCTGCAGTCCAAAAAAGTAACTTTTTCAGATTCTGGACCAGGGTGCTGTTTCTGGAACTGTCACTGATAGGTAGCATGAAGGAAAAAGTTGAGCTTATATCTGGAATCTACCTGAATTGAAACCAGTTCAGATGTAAGCTTTGAGAAAATCGGAAAGCATTTTTTATATTATGTCTGGGTGAAATCATTCTCTTTGCATTTTAATTGTACACAATCTGTTGCTACTTTTGAATAGGATATTTATTTATTGGTTATGTTTATATCCTGTTGTTTTTGGTGTTATACCTTGAAGTCATTTCTGACTTACAGTGACTCTAAGGCCAATCTATCATGAGGTTTTCCGGAGCTGAGAGTGTGTGCCTTGCTCATGGTCACTCAGTGGGTTTCCATACTCAAGTGGGGAATCAAACTCTAGTTTGCAGAATTATTCTATGATCAACTCACTTCACCAATTACTTTTTAAAGAAAGTTATAGCCCCCATTTTGTTGGTGAGCTAAAAGAAGACCACGTAGCACTCCTTCCCACCTCATCCTGGAAACAGCAATAAGGTTAAGGAAGGAAGTGATCAGCATAATCATAGGGTTGTTGTAGGTTTTTTAGGGCTATATGACAGCCCGCTCCCCGGAATCGAACCTGCGACCTTGTTGTAGGTTTTTTAGGGCTATGTTCTAGAGGCATTCTCTCCTGATGTTTCGCCTGCATCTATAGCAAGCATCCTCAGAGGTTGAGGAGTCTCTTGGAACTAGGAAAATGGGTTTATATATCTGTGGAATGACCAGGGTGGGACAAAAAACATAATCAAAACTTGTAGGGTCTAAATCAGAAACACAACCTGGATCTCCCAAACCCAATTGCAGTCAAATAATTACTGCATGACATTGGCTCTTCATAGCTGTGCTTTGTTACTGCATGTCCCATAATAATTTTCCATGACCTGTACTGGCTAAATCTCTAAATAATGTGTTGCCCACCTAATTCAAAACCACCCTTGTGTGGCCTGCTTCAGGTTCAGATGTACATGCTTAACTGGTTTCTTCCTCCACTTTCAGATGTACAGATTGATCACCTGTCTTTGCTGAAGCAATTTGAGCATCTGGATCCTCAAAACCAGCACACCTTTGAAGCCCGAGACTTGGAGTTGCTCATTCAGGCTGTATGTTTGACCTTTCATTCTTGCTTGTCTCGTCCCTTTACCATATCAGCAAAATATTGAGGCTCTGTTGTCTACCTTTTGTGGGCTTCCTTGGGTATTAAACACATAGGTTTGAGTCATCACTTCGCTCAGACTGAGTACATAAGCAGTTAGTTTAAGATTAATTCTAAGAAAGCTTCCATCATTGGCCTTTCCGCATCCCTCCTAATTCATCTGTGTTTTGACATGGCTCTGAAATCAATCAGAGACTGTGGGACATTGCCTTTCTGAGCTTTGTGTATCTTGCTCCCCTAGTGCCCTGTCCATACATTATGTTGGGCCTTTCCATGCAGCAAAAAACTTGACTGTGACCAAATCCCACTGCCTATATTCTTGTCTGAATTGCTGTGTGGGAGATTTGCAGGTACTCTGGCCAGATGATAAACAGGAAGTAGAATACATCTTCCACATTCTACTGTCATGAACAGTCCTGAGCACATACAATCAACCCATTAATAAGAAACTTACGAGCAAGTCCAGTGAAATTTTATGTGAAGTTTCTACTTAGTGACAACCTTCCCCACATGACCTTGGCAGTTGCCAAGTTTCTTTCTGAGGCAGCCAGGATTAGATAGTTCCCAATTTTAGACACAGGTTGAAACACACCGGCACTTCTTGTAACAATAAACAACAATAACACTTCTTGTAAACAACTTATTGTAAACAATAAACAACAACAATCTATGTTTTTAGCCAACATGTATTTTAAGCTGTTTTTAACTGTTGGAAATTTTATCCATGTGTGTATTTAATCAACCGGATGCTCTTTATTTATTTATTTATTTATTTATTTACACCATTTCTATCCTGCCCATATCAGCCCAAAGGCAACTTAGGGCGGTGCACAAGTCAGAAACAGCCAAATGCCACATATAAAAATACATACATCGATAAAAGCAGAAAATATCATCATACATTTAAAAACCATAAAAACAATAAATAATAAGAATTATTTAAAAAACTATGTCTTGTTTAAATCCTCAACCGTTCCATCGTCTTAATCTTATTACCTGCATACCTTGTACACAGACAGTGCAATAAAGGTCTTTGAACCATAATAAAATGTTGTTGTTGCTGATTTGTGGCACAACTATCCTTATCTCTAAGCTTCTCAAAAATGCTTATGGAATTCTGGATTCTGAAAAGTGTAGTCCTTAAAAAATATCTTCTTCCAAGTATTAGGACTCAGCGAGTGTTGATGTTGTTCTTCATCCCATAGGCAACCAAAGACCTGGAGAACTATGATGCTGCTCATCATGAGGAGTTCAAGCGATACGAGATGATGAAGGAGCATGAACGTCGGGAATATTTGAAATCTCTGGATGAGGAGAAGCGGCAGCAGGAGGAAGCACACTTTGAGGAGCTCAAGAAGAAGCACAAGGAGCACCCCAAGGTCAACGTCCCGGTAGGGGATTGTCTTTTTCATAATTTGTGGGGAAGTCATAGCAAGATGTAGAATTGTGTTCCAACCTGAGTTTGCTTACTTAAACATGTGAACATCTCTGCCTACTAACACAGGGCAGCCGTGACCAACTCAAGGAGGTGTGGCAGGAGACAGATGGCTTGGATCCTAATGAATTTAATCCCAAGACTTTCTTCAAGTTACATGGTAAGAAGCTGAATATTTTTAGTTTAGAAGAACCTCTTATTTTAGGTTTATTGTAGTAAAGAGTACATTGGGATATAATAAAAGGTAAAGGTTTCCCCTGACATTCAGTCTAATTGAGTCCGACTTTGGGGGATGGTGCTCACCATCATTTCTAAGCCAGCGTTGTCCAAAGATGTCTCCTAGGTCATTTGGCCGGCATGACATGGTGCTGTTACCTTCCTGCCGAAGTGGTACCTATTGATCTACTCACATTTGCATGTTTTTGAACTGCTAGGTTGGCAGAAGCTGGGGCTAACAATGGGAGTTCACCCCATCCTGCGGATTCAAACCGCTGACATTTGAGTCAGCAAGTTCTGCAGCTTAGCAGTTTAACCCACTGTGCCACTGCAGCCTCTTGGGGATATAATACCTCTTTATTTATTGACAATATGTTTCAACTTGAATTTATCCCAGAATTGTAGTAAATCTTTACTATTTCTTTTTTCTCTCACTCAGACACCAATAGTGATGGGGTGTTAGATGAACAGGAGTTAGAAGCACTTTTCACTAAGGAGGTAAGTTCTTTAGCTAGTTGTCATAATAATAATAATAATAATAATAATAATAATAATAATAAAACAGTATTTCTAGACCACCCTCTCTCCCCGAAGGGACTCAGGGTGGTTTACACATACAAAAAGGCAAGCATTCAATGCCTCAGGTGAGTGAGAACATATCAAAATAATACACAATAAAGCAACAGTAATAACAGTGAGCTTACGACAAAAAATTAAGCATTGTAACAAAAAATAAAATAAAACAATAGTTGGGTTGTTGTAGGTTTTTTTGGGCTATATGGCCATGTTCTAGAGGCATTCTCTCCTGATGTTTCGCCTGCATCTATGGCAAGCATCCTCAGAGGTAGTGAGGTGAGGATGCTTGCCATAGATGCAGGCGAAATGTCAGGAGAGAATGCCTCTAGAACATGACCATATCGCCCGAAAAAACCTACAACAACCCAGTGATTCTGGCCATGTAAGCCTTTGGCAATACATAAAACAATAGTTATACAGAACCTCCTAACTTGGTTTAAGGAAAGATAACTGGGTTTTCTGGTCTTGTGTGTTTTTCTGCCCTACAGCTAGAGAAGGTTTATGACCCCCGTAATGAGGAAGATGATATGCTAGAAATGGAAGAGGAGCGGCTGAGAATGCGGGAACACGTCATGCAAAATGTGAGTGTGCGGGTTGGGTGGGTGATGGCACATGATCCGAGCCGTTCAGTATGGGAAAACTGGAAATTATTGAAACATAGGACTCAATCTTTTTTTAGCATGCAAATCCATTTTGGATACAGAGAAACATAAACAATACAGGATGTATAGCTTTGAAAATGTATCTGAAAGCTGAATAACACATCCAATTGAGAAAAAAACAATGTGTGGTCATGGAAGTGGGGAGAAGGTTGTGGAAATGTAATGAAATAGGTTGAAAGAGCCACACATCAAGTATTTGGACTCTGGTTATAATTAAAAAGGTTTGAAGGAGTGGGCCGTTAAACAGTAGCTAATGCTTGTAATAGCTATGAATGTGAAATTCTTAGTTAAACCTTCCTCTTCTGGCTGAACTAAGTGTGGGAGTAGCTTAATGGAAAGACTATTTGCAATTACTATTGATTATGATGGCAGGGGGATTCTGAGAACTGTAGTTCAACATGACTTCCCAAGACTCCTGATGTCTCTCAATTACCATATATACTCGAGTATAAGCCAAATTTTTCAGCCCTTGTTTTAGGCTGAAAAAGCCCCCCTTGGCTTATACTCAAGTCAAAGTTATTTATTATTTTACTCAGTTATTATTATTATTTATAACATGTATTATTTTACTCTTTATTATGACGATTATTATTTTTACATTTACATTATTTTACTCTATTATTATTACATTTATTATTTTACTCTATTTATTATTGTAATTGTTACATACATTATTTTACTGTATTATTACATTCATTATTTTACTCTATTTTTATTGTTATTTTTACATTAACATTATTTTACTCTATTATTTTTATTATATTTATTATTTTACTCTAATATTACTGTTATTATTACATTTCCATTATTTTACTCTATTCTTATATTTATTATTTTACTCTCTTTATTATTATTGAAGGATACATAAGCACATTTACATTGAAGGTTAGAATAATGGTTTAATCCGAGCTAAACTGTCTTATCTTAAATTACAGTTTTATGTAAATATTCAAAAACATTTAACCTACAGATGCCTCAATTAATGTAATGTTATTTGTATCTATTTTTATTTTGAAATTTACCAGTAGCTGCTGCATTTCCCTCACATTTGAGTCAATACATTTTTCGGCTTACATTCAAGTCAATACATTTTTCTAGTTGTTGTTTTTTTTGTGGTAAAATTAAGTACCTTGGCTTATATTTGGGTCAGCTTATACAGTTTTCTGCAGGCTAAAGATACTGATCCCAGCTTACATTGAATTATGTTTGTTGTAAAGTTAACTGAGATCAAACAGTTGAAAGCTAAAAAATATTGGCAACATTACTGTCATCAATACTATTAAAGAACATTGTTCTTCATTCTAGTCATAGACATTAATCTGTTGTTATTATCACAATGGGGAACATACCTAAGGAGCTAAGCTTGGTGAAAAGCACAGGGGGAGGATATCCCAAAACTGGTGCATGAAAACAGTTAAAGAACCTTGAAAACTGAATGAAAGCAATACACAGAAACTTGTGTAAAGGTAGAATCTCAATTAACATGCAGTGGGGCACAGAAAATCTAGGCTTTTGGCAGCTAGAACAGTTTGTATCCAGGGCAAAGCATGGAGAACTGCTTCTTGCTTTCTAGGAAATTATGAGTCACCTTCTGGTTGGTTAAAATGACTGGTATATACTTTCTGGTTTTTTTCTTCTTCCTTGAAAGGTTACAGAGAAGACAGGAAATCAATGGGTGGTGCAATTTCTGTGTTTCTATTTTGGGAAATCTTGTTCAATTTCCCTTCTCTTAGTTTCACAGAGATTTCCCACATGGGTCGCTGTGAATTTCCAGGGCTGTATGGCCATGTTCCAGAAGCATTCTCTCCTAACGTTTCACCCACAGGTTGTGAGGTCTGTTGGAAACTAGACAGTTGAGGTTTATCTATCTGTGGAATGTCCAGGATGGAAGAAAGAACTCTTGCAACATTCACACTTGCCTCAAACAGGAAGAGTTCTTTCTCCCACCCTGGACATTATTCCACAGATATATAAACCCTACTTGCCTAGTTTCCAACAGACCTCACATCCTCTGAGGATGCCTGGGTGAAACGTCAGGAGATAATGCTTCTTGAGCATGGGCATACAGCCCAGAAAACTCACAGCAACCCAAAAGAGAGCCGACACTGTATATCACGTTTCCACATGTTCCACATGTTCCTTGGAGGCTGTCAATCATGCTTTGGCAACTTCCGTATTAGACTATTTCAGTTTTATGTGGCACTTGCTACATGTACTGGTGTGCTATTATTTGTTGTATACTTTTTTCATTGTTGGATGGATGGTAGCTGCTTTGGTTTGTCATCCATTGAATTGTTAAAATATGGTGGATTGTGACATTAACATATATTGTATGATGTAAAAACTTGGTATGTAAATAATTGAACTCAAGAGTGAGTAACTATGAGCCTCCAGATTTTTATTTTATTTCACTTCAGCTTCCATAATTCGTTATTGTTACCCTTGTTGGCTGCAACAGGTAGAATTTACAGGCCCACAGTTCTCTATTTATTTATCTACAGTATTTATATTCCACCCTTCTCACCCCAAAGGGGACTCAGGGCAGATCACAGCACACATACACAGCAAACATTCAATGGCATTAAACAGACAGGATAGACAACAGACAGAGGTATTATGTTAGCATTTTTCCAACTTTGGCGTCCTGGAGGCGGTGCTCAATTCTGGCCACAGGGGGGTGCTGTCGCTCCGCCCTGTATGACAAAAATCCCTTGATCACAGACTTCCTCCTTCCTTTCATCTCCAGCATTTTCTGGAATTTCCTTTGGGTCCGTAAAATAACTCCCCGCTTAAGCAGTGCCTAATTTTTCTACTCACAGCTCACAGCTGTCTTCGAATTGCTTGGGTGGACAGTAAGCTGGGCTGAAGGTTGGGTGCTCATCCCGACCCGGGCTTCGAACTGTCAACCTTTTGATTAGTAAGATCTATTGCTGCTGGTGATTAACTAGCTGTGCTAAAGCCCGGCCCCTAGCTGGGCTATAAATAAACATTGAAGCATATTTAATAGTGATGAGGGCTAGAAGTGTATTACATTCTGTGAGTAAAAACTGCAGCTCTAATAATGCCTGATTTTCATCCTATAACTCTGCATTGCCTAGCAACCCAAAGTGAAAAAAGAAGGGTTCAGTGGATTATAGACATTTTTTCCCCAGAAGCATAAAGTTGGAAGAGACTGAAAGAACTATCCAGTCCAACCCTCTGCCATTCAGAAATACACAAACAAAGCACTTCCAACAGACAGTCATCCAGCCTCTGCTTAAAAACCTCTAGAGAAGGAGACTCCCCCACATTCTGATACAGTGTATTCCATTGTTGAAAAACTCTCAGAAAGTTCTTCCTAATGTTTATGTGGAATCTCTTTTCTTGTAGTTAGACTCGTGGCTCCATGTCTTAGTCTCTGGAGCAAGAGAAAACAAGCCTGTTCTCTCCTCAATTTGACATACTCTCATATATTTATGTGTGGCTATCTTGTCATCTCTTGACTTTCTCTTCTCTAAGCTCATTATTGTTTGAGTTCACAGTGCTTTCTGGATGTAGGTGAACTACAACTCCCAAACTCAAGGTCAATGCCCATCAAACCCTTCCAGTATTTTCTCTTAGTCATGGGAGTTCTGTGTGTCAAGTTTGGTTCCATTCCATCATTGATGGAGTTTAGAATGCTCTTTAATTGTAGGTGAACTATAAATCCCATCAACTACATCTCCCAAATGACAAAATCATACCCAGCTCCCTAAGGTGTTCCTCATAAGGTTTAGCCTCCATGCCTTTCACAATTTTGGGTATTCTTCCCTAGATGCATTTCAGCTTGCCCATATTGTACTTGAATTGTATTCTCCAGAATCAGACACATTGTCCCCATTTTGTTGTTATTTATTTGTTCAGTTGCTTCCAACTCCTCGTGACCTCATGGACCAGCTCACACCAGAGTAATTTCTTATTGTAATTTCAAGAAATTATCAAGTGGGCCAGTGGAAAGAAAAAGCAAATCATTAACTGGAGCTTTTTCAATTTGTTCTTCTCCCGCAGGTGGATCTTAACAGGGACCGGCTGGTAACTCTGGATGAGTTCCTCAAGTCAACACAGAAGAAGGAATTTAATGAAGTTGATGGATGGAAGGTATGTGAGCAGAAGATGGTGTTCTGAATTTTTCTCCAAGGGATTAGAAAGCTCATCATTGATGGACAGATGATAGTAGGCCATTTAGACCCCTGTAGGAGATGTTTGTGTGAAGTTTCTCTATGCACATCCAGAATTTTTGGTCCCAATGTACCCCAACCCATCCTGGGGATATGGGGTGGAATTTCTCTGTGTTTTTGGCCTGGACTATTTTCTCTCTTTTCCTGTGACTATAATGCAGTTTGCCCAATCATTAGAACAGCACTGGGAAACACTTGACCTTCTAAAGGTGGTTGGATTGCCTGTCACATCAGGGGTAGGAGAGGATGATGAGAATTGCAGTCCAACAACATTTTCAGAATTTCAAGTAGCCTACTCCTGCATTTGAAAAAAGCATCTAATTCAGTGTTTCTCAACCTAGGACCCTGTCGGGGGGAGGGGTATGTGGGGATGTGAGAGGGGTCGCCAAAGACTATCCGAAAACACAGTATTTTCTGTTGGCCATGGGGGTTCTTTGTGGGAAGTTTGGTCCAATTCTATCATTGGTGGGGTTCAGAATCCTCTGATTGTAGGTGAACTATACATCCTAACTACTACAACTCCCAAATATCAAGGTCTATTTTCCCCAGACTCCAACAGAGTTCACAGTTGGGCATATTGATTATTCATGCCAAGTTTAGTCCAGATCCATCATTGTTTGACTCCACTGTGCTCTTTGGATGTAGGTGAACTACAACTCCAAAACTTAAGCTCAATGCCCACCAAACCTGTCCAGTATTTTCTGTTGGTCATGGGAGGTCTGTGTGCCAAGTTTGGTTCAATTCCATTGTTGGTGGAGTTCAGAATGCTCTTTGATTGTGGGTGAACTATAAATCCCAGCAACTACAACTCCCAGATGGCAAAATCAATCCCCCCCAAGCCCACCAGTATTCAAATTTGGGCGTATCGGGTATTTGTGCCAAATTTGGACCAGTGAAAGAAAATACATCCTGCATATCAGATATTTACATGACAATTAATAACAGTTGCAAAATTATATTTTTGAAGTAGCAACAAAAATAATTTTTTGGTTGGGGGTCCCTACATGAGGAACTGTATTAAGGGGTCGTGGCATTAGGAAGGTTGGAAAGCACTGATCTAATTTGACCTCCTTGGACTGTGGCACATATACAGTTAAACTGAATGAGAAAACCATCATCCTTGGCTTGAGGCAGACTAGCAAGGCTATGTTTAAATAACAAATGACTAAGAATTAAGATGTCCCATTTTGAACTGTTTATTTCATTGCAGGTTACCAGACGTTTTGATCTTGTAAACTGCTCTGAGTCAAAGAAATAATATTCCGGATGTATCTAATTAACCTCAAATTAAGCTTCTATTGGTTTCTGTGGTTTTTCTGTCATACCTGAAGCAAAGGGTTGAATGTTTATGGTGCTGGATATATGGTGCTGAACTGGGGACAAAGGTTTCCATATTTGTAGTAACCAAGTTTGGGAAAATATGTTTGTTGACTGCAGCATGCAGAATTCTAGTGTTGAACATAATCAGAAGTTTTCAGTGACAATATATTATAAATGCAGGAATCTTGTAAAGTCAGACCTCAGTATCCATATATTCTATATCCACATATTACACCATCTTTAAAATATATATTTTTTTAAAAAAAATTCAAACAGCAAACTTTTGTTTTGCCAATTTATATAATAGATTAGCTTGCCCAGGTTATTTGAAAAAGTCATTTTTTAATTGTCCAAAATGCATAAAGTTGTGGCTTAAGTTCAACTCACATCATGTCAGGTTAACCACGAGCAACTCCATCAGTAGTTAAAGTTTATAATGTTGGGCAACTTCGGTCTGGATGCATCATTAGTGGGGGGTGCAATGTGCTCTCTGGCTTTAGGGTAAACTACAACTCCCACTATGGTGAGTCAGTCCCCTCAAACCCCTCCAGTAGGAGGTTCTGTGTGCAAAGTTTGGTCCAGGTCCATTATCGGCGGGGTCACAGTGTACCTTGTTGTGGGTGAACTACAACTCCCATAAAAGAAGGTCAGTTCTCCCCAAACCCCTCCAGTAATCAAATATCAGCATATCAGGTATGTGTGCCAAGTTTGGTCCAGTTTCCTCAGTGTTTGGGTTCACAGTGCTCTCTGGATGTAGGTGAACTACAACTCCTCCAAATCAAAGTGAATTTGGCGACCCCTCTGAAACCCCCCTTGTGATCCCCCGGGGGTTTCGACCCCCAGGTTGAGAAATCCTGGTGTAAGTAGATACCCCTGCCACATTCACTTTTCTTGTGTGTGTGTGTATAATATTACTATGATATTGTGTATAATGGGACTTGAGCATCCATTAATTTTGATATCTACAGGAGTCCTGGAATCAGTTAGAATGAATATCAACTGTGTCTTCAAACTAACAAAAAACAGAGCATCTTGTGACCACCTTCCTCTCCATCCGACCCTCTAAATGTTTTTTTTTATGGTGAATAAGCCCTTGTGCAATATGAAATATCTCCCAGGTTCTTCAACCTTGTGTCGCTGTTAAACCCACGCTTTCTCTCCCTTCTCCTTCCCTCCAGACTGTGGATGAAACACAGATCTACTCCGAGGCAGAGCTGCAACGCTTTGAGGCGGAGTTGGCAGCCCAGGAGGCCGAGCTGGGCCGGAGAGCAGAGCAGCTTCGCCAACAGCACCAGGAACTTCAGCAGCGACAGGTGGAGCTCGATGCTCAGAAGAAGGAGTATCAGCAGGTACAGAGCATCAGGCTGGGCAGTGTTTAACCGGGTGGTTCCCCGGTGTGGTTGGAAACCCAAATGTTGTGGTGCCGTGTGATGATAAATGGCTTCATGTGATGGTGAACCTCATCAGTTGGTTTCCTCCAGTCATTTTGTAGGCATTTGGTTCCTGTGTCTCTCTTGGACTGGCCCTATCATTAGACAGGCTGGGACAGTCATGTGAGGCACAGTGGCAAGTCCTTTACCATTCTTCACAGGAGGCTGGGTGTTCCCTTTTGTTGAATCAGCAGATGCTGTTGTTTCCTCTCCAGTATTGAAATTAATTTCATCTCCTAGTTCTGTTTACCTCTACATGCATTATCACGACTTGGATCCATTCAGTCCTTTTCCCCAGGCAGCAGAATGACCTTGTATTGTTGGAGGCTTTCATGGCCGGAATCACTGGGTTGTTGTAGGTTTTTCAAACTGTATGGCTATGTTCTAGAAGCATTCTTTCCTGACGTTTTGCCTGCATCTATGGCAGGCATCCTCAGAGGTTGTGAGGTTGCTTGCCTGACTTCACAACCTCTGAGGTTGCCTGCCATAGATGCAGGTGAAACGTCAGGAGAGAATGCTTCTAGAACATGGCCATACAGCCCGACGTTCCACCTGCATCTATGGCAGGCATCCTCAGAGGTTGTGAAGTCTGAGGCAAGCAACCTCACAACCTCTGAGGATGCCTGCCATAGATGCAGGTGAAACGTCAGGAGAAAATGCTTCTAGAATATGGCCATCCAACTCAAAAAATCTACTACAACCCAGAATGACCTTGGCTGGCTTTGCCTGCTTTCGAATCTCATGTGTGGGTTTTGTTTTCTGGTTCTTGTTTGGTTGGTTGGTTGACTTATATGCAAAGTGCAGCGCTCTCGATTGTGTTGGATTGTAGCTCCCATCCATACTAACTACATGAGCAGTAGTGAGGAATGTGGTCAGTCTTAGTCCAACAATATGTGAAGTCACATAGTACCCACGTTTGGCAAAGGACAATAAAAAAGAGAATGATATGGAGAAGATTCAGAAAGTAGGAACAACTACACCACTCCATCTCTGAATAAAATAAGAGCCCCATAACCATACACATGGAATACAATAAGAGCCCCATTACCATATATACGGCTTCGCTTTTTCATGCCTTGGGGTAAATGGTCTATCTGGAAATTTGCTATGTCCTCCAGGTTATGCTATGGTATACTTCCCCTGGAAGTTAATATAGAGTGTCATTGGAAGACATACCAAATTCTTAGTGGTGATTCCTCTTTTGGAATCCCTAGGTCCTCCAACAGTACTCTATGTCAGGGCTTCTTAAACTTTTTCCACTTGCAAACCCTTTCTGCCCAAGAGATTTTTCTGTGACTTTCAGGTATATAGGTATATAAAACAGGTATAAATATAACACATTTAATGATAGCAAATCAGCATTTTCAAGGCTTGCTAAACAGGCTGTTTTTCTGGGTTGTTGTAGGGTTTTTCGGGCAGTATGGCCATGGTCTAGATGCCTCTAGACCATGGCCATACAGCCCGAAAAAACCTACAACAACCCAGTGATTCCGGCCATGAAAGCCTTTGACAAGGCTGTTTTTCCTTTTTTTATCAAGTACAGTTGAAGCATTTTCTGCAGAGCCCACTGTAAATGGGTAAATTAGCATAAATGAGTGGTGTTCAGAAACCTTTTACTATTGCCAATTTTGAGGTAAGGGGGCCTCATTTAGGGTCAGGACTTACCGTTTAAGGAGCAGTGCTCTTTGGCATGTTGAAACCAAGAGTGAGGTAATACAATAGCGGGGACGAGAGACAGGGCCTTCTCAGTGGTGGCCCCTCAGCTATGGAATGCCCTTCCTAGGGACATTAGATTGGCCCCCTCCATTTTAGCATTCCAGAGGAAAGTGAAGACATGGCTGTATGAGCAAGCATTTAACAATGCAGTGTAACAGCTATAGCAATATGGAACGATTGGTTGATGATTTTGGACAACGTTTTTAGTTAAGAGACATTTATGATTTATGCATTTAATTGATTTTGCTAAGATATAATATTATTTGTTAATGTTTTAAATGTTTTATGCTGTTGGCATTAAATTGTTACCTTGTTAACCGCCCTGAGTTGCCTGCGGGCTGAGAGGGGCGATATAGAAATATAGTAAATAAATAAATAGCATCTGATCATATTTGTGGTTTCACATCATCACCATCCAACTGGAGACATAACTCCCCGTTGTGTGTAAGGAGACTGAACTATCCTGAGAACTATCTTTCAAAAATAAATTTTGTCCAGGCTCTGAATACATGGTACCCGGGCTACATTTCTACTAGAAGTGCTGCTTAATCCAGGCAGATAAGAAAAGAGAAAGTTGCCTGTGTATGTGTTTGTGTGATTATTTGTTTTTTTTCATCCTCTCCTATGCCAGGTTGTGCTCCAGATGGAACAGAGGAAATCCCAACAGCAACCTGGGCAGGTTCCCAATGCTGGTCCTGGAGGAGAGCTCAAATTCCAAGCCCAGCCACCTCATGCCGCTCCAGGAGGTGAGGATCCCAATCCTGAGTGTTCTGAGAAGTAGATGGAGGGTAGCTTATTTTGGGAGAGATGTCAGCACTCTAGATGTTCTGCTTCCTAAAATGAGGATTTTTTTGTCCTCTACACTAAGTCTTGTTTCAGAACCTTGGACAGTACTTTTGGACCACAGTTCCCAGAATACTCCAGCCAGCATGTGGTCCAAAAGAAGTAACATTTCAAAGACTTTCATTTTCTCTAAAAATGAGTCAAAAATCCTGAGTAAGCCTTCTCTAACCTGTTATGCTCTATACCAGGACAGAGTGACTCTACCTTCTATCAGGCCCTATAGATAGTAGTTTTATGGATTTTTTTTTGTCGTGTCAGGAGCTACTTGAGAAACTGCAAGTCGCTTCTGGTGTGGGAGAATTGGCCGTCTGCAAGGGATGTTGATATGGTAGTTCAAAGTTGAAAGGTAAATTTGGAGTCAGAATAATCATCCATCCATATTGATGGCATTAGTGGCACAGGACCCCAGCAAAAGTAGAAAAAACAAAGATAAAAAGGCACTTACTTTTTTAAAACCTAAGGGGACACCTCTCTAAGAATCTCTAAGTCTTCTAGCACAACTTCGTTTCTGATGGAAGTTGACCATAGAGTTGTGTTGGAGGATTCAGAGATTCCTAGGTAGAACATACTTCCATGAATGATCAAATCTGCAAAAGTGAAACTCACAAAACAAGGAGGATGGCTGAGTGCACTTGATCAATCAGGGCCAGCTAACACCTCCCAATAAAGGATTCCCCCAGGCATTCAATGCTAATCAAGGTGGCCAGTTGCAACATTCACACTTGCCTCAAGCAGACAAGAGCTTTTGTCTCCCACCTTGGACATTCCACAGATATATAAACCTCACTTGCCTAGTTTCCAACAGACCTCTCAACCTCTGAGGATGCCTGCCATAGATATGAGCAAAACATCAGGAGAGAATGCTTCTGGAACATGGCCATACAGCCTGGAAAAGTCATTAACCAAGATCCTAAGAGTCTTGACAAAACAACAACAACGAAATATGTCATTATTGCTCACAAGAGGGCAGTATAGGCAGATTCTCCAAATGGGTGGTTGTCTAACTTCTGTTTGAAGCCTTCCTTCTCCCATTGTTCTTCCATAGAACTGGTTTCACTCTTGAGCTGTTGCTTCAATTGTCAAGGAGCCCATTTACACTACAGAACTGCAGTGCCATAATGCCATTAAAATGCCATGGGTGGATTTTGGGGCTGATGAAGCAGAAGAGCTCTCTAGCTGAGAACTCTAAATGTACCTCCTTAAAATATCTCCTTAAACTTTAAATACAAGATCCTCTTTGTTGGTTTGAGCATTGGACTATGACTCTGGAGAGCAGGGTTTGAATCCTCGCTGTCCCATGAAACCTTCTGGGTGATCTTGGGTAGGTTATATACTCAGCCTCAGACGAAGTCAATGTTAAACCTATCCTGAGCAAATCTCAGCAAGAAAACTCTGTGATAGGGTCACCCTAGCTTAGAAACTACTTGCAGACATGCAATAGTGAGGATTGCATAGGATGGATCCATGATGGTCAGGAGGTTCTTCCTAATGTTCAGGTGAAATCTCATTTTCTGTAATTCATAGCAATGGGTTTAAATTACAGGGCAGGAGATTCCACCCGAACATTAGGAAGAACTTCCTGATTGTAGACATTGTTCAGCAGTGGAACTCTCTGCCTTGGAGTGTGGGGACGCTCCCTCTTTGGGGGCTTTTAAACAGAGACTGGATAGCCATATTTTAGGGGTACTTTGAGTGTGCTTTTACTGTATGGCAGGGATTTGGATTGGTTTTTAAATGCTGTATGTTATTGATATTGTTATTGTTTATTGCTTATTGTGTATTTTTTTGAGTTTATTTTAATTGTTTTGTATTATTATTATTATTATTATTGGATGGTCTTTGTGGTTTCTATGATTCCATGAAAGTGCATTCATAGTGCTATGATTGTGTAATGTGAAAGACACCAAGATTTGCTTCTGTAGGAGACGAAGAAGGAAATAAGAAGACGAGGCAAGGCTTGGCTAATGGCCCCAGACCAAACATCTTCTGTTCTCTTTTTGTTCTAGATCAGCCAGTTCCACCTGAGTCCCATCCTGTTGCACCAGAGCAAAATCCCCAGGAGAACCACATTGAGCCTCCTCAGAACCAACAGCATCCAGAAGTAGAGACCCAGTAGAAAATTGTCAGAATGGGAGGGGCTGAGGGCATTGTATTTTCCTACGTCTGTAGTCTGTGGATGGACGGCCCATGAACTGCGTGTGGCCCCAAAGGCCATTTTTGCAGCCCAAAATTACTGCTGGAATTTAGTGACAAAACCACATCACTAAAATCCAACTACAGCTGAGGGGGGTGTATTATTTTTAAATCTATGAAAGCATAGTTATGTCAAAGGGATTTTCCACTATGTGCCTCCAAATTTTGATAAGTATGGTGGTATAGGAGTCTTATGACAGATTTCTGGATTGGGATTGGCTCCTTGCAATGTCAAAAATTGGATCAAAATTCCTTGGAGGATGGCAAGTGAATGGGAAGGGTTGGAGCGTCTTTTGTATCAGGGAATTCTGAGTTTTAGGAATAGTCCCACCCTTAACCAGCCCCCCCCCCCAATTTTCCAAAATAGGAGACAGCATCTATCCCTTTTTATTTATTAGGCTTGTACGTATTCTCCAACCAAAATGGTCCTCATTAAGCATTATTAGGAAGGCTCTGGTGAGGATGCTGGAAGCCATGTAGAAGAACCCAGTAGGAGAATTTGCACCATAGGCACCTTGTTTTCATCTGGTAATTTTACCTTTGAGTACATAAAACTGTGTGTGAAGCCTCAACTGCAGTATTACGTGTTCTACTTCCTTTTCCTCCTTGCTCAAATTTGCCCATTGTAAAATTAAATAATACTGTTGCACAGGTGGTTTTTCTTTTTTTACAGGGTAGACACTGAGAGCCTGACTTGTTTTTGGATAATTTGGATCCTTCTGTTCAATAAAACTGATTAAAACCCTTGGTACCCATTCATTACAGTTTTCAGTCAATTCTTCTTTCTCGCGAGCAGATTCTTCTCAGAAAGTGCATCTACACCAGGCATGGGCAAACTTTCTAACTTGGGGGCTGTATGGAGGGCGGGAGTGGGATGGGCGGACCGGGAGGGGGTTCTCCCCAAGCCCCCTCCTTGCCTTTTCTTCCCCTTCCTCTTCTCTTTCAGAGGCAGAAAATGAAGGAAAGACGGAAAATGTTTGGATCCCAAACATTTGGTCAGGATGAGATGGTGGATGGGAGAGAAAAAGTGTATCCATTAGATCCCGTACTGCCTACTTCTGATATGGAGTCTTAGAGCTGGAAGAGACCCCCAAGAGCCATCCAGTCCAACCCCCTGCCATGCAAGAAGGCACAATCAAGGCACTCCCAATAGACAGCCTCTGTGGAAAAGCCTCCAGAGAAGGAGACTCAACCACACTCCGAGACAACCTATACCATTCTCCAACAGCTCTTATTTTCAGAAAGTTTTTCCTAATCTTTTCAGTCGAATCTCTTTCCCTGCCATTTGAACCCATTGTTCCCTTGTGCCTTGGTCTCTAGAGCAGCAGAAAGTCAAGTTTTCCTCCTCCCTCCTCCTCAATGGGACACCCTTTGAAATCTTGAAACATGGTTCTCATGTTCCCTCTCAACCGTCTCTTCTCCCAGCTAAACATCCCCCAGGAGGAAAGGATGAAGGATAAAGAGAAGGAAGGGAAGGGTGGAAGGGAATGGAGGGAGGGAGGGAAGGAGGAAAGGAAGAAAGACAAAACGGAAGGAGAAAGAGGGAAGAAAGGAGGAAAGAGGTAATGAAGGAAGGACAAAAGGGTGAAAGGGAAGGAAGGAGGGAGGAAGAAAGAGGGAGGTGAGGGAGGGAGAGAAGGAGGAAGGAAGAAAGAATATGACAGAGAGAGGATGACCTGAGAAAAGAGCCCAAGGAACCGCATCCGCCCCCTTCGTACGCAGGCCTGAGTTTGCCCATACCTAATCTACACAGAAGTGATTTGGTCAGTAAAGGATAATCCCCCAAATAAGTGTGCTTAAAATGGAAGACTCCTGCTGTTGCTTTGGGCTGTTTTGGCATTGCAACCTTATCATGCCTTGAGTGGGTGTGGTATTTTGTGTAAAAGTGTTACACAAGTGCATTAAGACACATTTTCTCCAGCCTTTGGCTCTCAGCAGTCAACACTCTGCCTGATTCCAGGGATCTGTGTGTATGTGTATCTGCACACACACAGTTATTATTCTGTCTTTGATACTTCAACAGTTTATACAGTAAGCATTCTACAATTGATATAGATAGGTGCCCAGTACTTGGAAAACTTGGAAAACTTTTTTAAAAAAAACTGAATTCCAGAGCCTCCAATATGACTCTGAGCATGTTCTGCTGATGATAGAATCTCATTGGAGGGACCCTAAAGATTCCTAGAGACTCCATATTAATCAAATATGTGAATTATCAAAGTTATACCCACAAATGTGGTGGAGTGCAATCACAAACAAATCAACATTAAGGCAAAAAATGACTTGGCAGCTGTAAAGGTGACGATACCTTCTAATGAAGAATGTGGAAATATCTTTTGGAACCGCAACTCCCAGAAAAGCCTAAGCTAGTCCCCTTTCTAATGTTAAAACAGCTGGCTTCTGAAGGTGTACATCATCAGAGCAGAACAGACCTTCATGGTGCACATATTCGATAGTTATGGCATTACCATGCTGCAGACTCTGCTCTTGTTAGATTTCTGGGCTTCTAGTGGTTGACTGCAGATGCAAAACAACATCCAGAAGTGATGAAAAGTGGACCTGTTGTAACTAAAGGTTCACTTATATACATCCTGATCCTTCTGCCATGCTAGATGGTGGATTTTGTGGAGGCTTTGTGATGTACCTGAGTGTGCTAGATACACACTTTTCATGCCATCACCTAAGACAAGTGTCAAATGTGGCCCACCATATCATTTTATGTGGCCTTCCAAATACAACTCCTGTATTCTTCATCCATGGACATAATATCTACAACTGGTGGGAGTTGAGATGCAGTAACATCTGGAAGGCTTTGATTTCTTTAGTCATGGTTTAAATTTAGAGATTTGTGGATAGGTAAAGGTAAAGGTTTCCCCTTAACATTAAGTCTAGTCATGTCCAACTCTGGGGGTTGGTGCACGTCTCCATTTCTAAGCCGAAGAGCTGGCATTGTCCATAGGCAATTCAAAGGTCATTTGGCCAGCATGGCTGCATGGAGTGCCATTACCTTCCCACCGATGCGGTACCTATTGATCTACTCCTTTATTTTATTTATTTATTTTACTATGCTTCTATACCGCCATTCTCAGCCTGAGGGCGACTCATGGCGGTTTACAAAACGGCACCATTCGATGCCCACAACAGTACAAAAATAATTTAAACATTAAAAACATTTAACACAGGTAAAAATTCATTACAATTAACATCAGTAACACCATAAAAACCATAAAAACCATATTTACATGTTTTCGAACTGCTAGGTTGGCAGAAGCTGGGGCTTACCCTGCTCCTCAGATTCGAACTGCCGACCTTTCGGTCAGCAAGTTCAGCAGCTCAGCGGTTTAACCAACTGTGCTACTGGGGGCTCCTCAGTGCCTGAATTTAAAATGTCCTTTAACCTTTTCCTAACCTCAGAGCCACAAGAGCTGTTGGGTTGCAATTCCTATTATTCCCAGTCTGCATAGGTGATAATCAAAAGTGATGGAAGTTGTCATTCAATAATATCTGGGGACCCAAACCGGGTAATAACTAAAGGGCACCGAACACTATGTAAAATATAAATATATATAGTTGGCCCTCTGTATCCATGGATCCTCCACATAAGGATTTGTGGCCCTTTGAAGGCAACCATAAGACTGATTTGGACCTTGATGGAAAAACCTTTGAAACCCCTGAGCTGAAAGGTAGTGGGATCTAATGAATGTGGCTCCATCCATAAAAATGTCAATGGTATTGTTTAGTATCTGCATCAGGCATCATTTGCGATGGCTCACCACGAAGCTTCACACTGTCATTGTGTATGTGTTTGTGGAGGCATCCACAAATGAAAACAACATAACCCTGTGCTTCCTCACGTGTCCAATTTTTTTGTTGTTATGTGAGTAGGCTTATTGTCCACCCAATGTTTACATCGGCAGCCCCACCCTATGGTGGAAAATGAATGATGTGGGAGTAACAGAGAAGAACCTGTTTCTTCCCTGAGTTTCACAGCTTGCAATGTGATCCACCCACGTCTTATTTGTTCCAGTGGAAACTGGGGTTGTATGTATCTGTCAAGGTTATGGTCCTCTCCCTTCTTCTCCTCTCTAGCAAATTGGAAGAATCAGACACTGGAATTACATTCAGTCATCTAATTAACTGAGGTATAGGAACCCCATGAAAGTGGAAAACAGTTTTTAAAACCCCTTTCTAAAAACATATAACAAAGTTTGCAAAAAAATGTTCCTGGCTTGAAAGTGCTATTTTCTGTGTAGTTGTGTGTTACTTACTTTGAAAATAGCTGTTATACTCCAGGAACATTGTTTTTGTGGCACCCACAAACTATGTTGAGTTGTTTTGTTTTTTTTTTCGTGTCAGGAGCGACTTGAGAAACTGCAAGTTGCTTCTGGTGTGAGAGAGTTGGCCGTCTGCAAGGACGTTGTCCAGGGAACACCCGGATGTTTACCATCCTATGGGACACTTCTCTCATATCCCTGCATAAGAAGCTGGAGCTGACAGACAGGAGCACACCGCACTCCTTGGATTTGAACCACTGACCTTTTGGTCAGCAGTCGTGCCGACACAAGGGTTTAACCCATTGCACCACTGGGGACTCGTTGGTTGGAACTCTATGAGATATTCATTGAAAACTATGGCCAAATGTGCTGCAGGATGTTCCGCAGGAACCAAGTTTTTGCAGTTTAATAAACTTTTCCCATGTTTTATGATAAAACCAATTAGGAAATGACATTTATGACCTAGGAACAAAAATTGTGTTACATAGTGCAGTATCTCGGTCCTCCAGCACTGAAAGATTTGATTGAAAGGAGGTCTCTTTCGGAATCTCAAAGTTCTCCATTGCGACTCCATAGTTCATGTCTGGCCAAAGTTTATCATAAAGAGTTATACTAGAAGACCATGAGTTTCCTAGAAAGAATCTTTTAATCAAATCTGTAAAAGGCAAAACTATAAACCTGGAGGGCCAACTGCACTGTAACATGGGACAAGGTATATTGTCAGTTATTGTTTATGATTTGTTTTGGTGGCAAGGGCATAACAAGCTATTCCTTTTAAACGTAATAAGTCATATTTTTGCATTTTCTGTTCTAGCACTGTTCTAGCAGCATTTTTCATTTTATGTCATTTTCCAATCCCAAAAGGGTTTTTTAACAAGGAGATTCCACCTGAACAATAGGAAGAACTTCCTAACTGTGAGAGCTGTTCAGCAGGGGAACTCTCTGCTCTGAAATGTGGTGGAGGTGCTTTCTTTGGAGGCTTTTAAACAGAGGCTGGATGGCCATCTGTCAGGGGTGCTTTGAATGCATTTTTCCTGCTTCTTGGCAGGGGGTTGGACTAGATGGCCAATGGGGTCTCTTTCAACTCTATGATTCTATAAGTGACTAAATGTTTGTCCTTTATAGCAATCAACACCATGGGGAAATTGGGCAAGAAGTTTTAGAAACAATTGCCTTTTAAAACAAATTGCCAAGCTTGGGGGGGAACACAGAGGACATTTAGGAGAAACAGTTTTCCATGCAGAGGGAATCCAAGATCCTCCTGTCCTTTTAGTGTGGTTAAACTTTGAACCCACTTATTTGCTTTGGGAAAGATAAAATGTTTGTAAAGGACTTCCAACTAGTAAGATACTGCAAATCATGTGTAGCTAAAAGATCCTTTAGACATCAAAAACTGAGATAACCACCATGGTATAGTTCCATGGACTATACTAAAGCAATGTTTTCTGGGGATGATGGGACTTGTAGTATAACAAAGTTGGAATACAGGATTAGGGGAGATATGTTGTATTGGAAGGGAATCATGTGGCCCTCCAGAGATGGAGAGTAAAAATGAAAGTCAAACTGTCAGTTGGCTTCATCATCATTAGCTATGCTGACCAAGGCTGCTGGGACATGTAGTCCCACAACATCGGGAAGTCTGCAGGCTTCTCATCTCGATGCAATATGACAATTAGTTCCTGATGAGATGAGACTTCACACAATGAGGGGAGGATGAAAACCTGTATTATATTAACCTGTAATTTAATTAAAATAAGGTGTTGACATTATAGCATAATACATGCTTATTCCCTCCTTCGCTGCAATGGCTGTCCAGAAGTAGTTCCAGTAGGTTTTTCCATCCCTTTGGAACAGGTTTTTGAGATGCTTGGGGAAATGATATGCACCCACATCTTCTGTTCTCAGAAGCAATAGAAGTTTAGTACTGGATCCTGATTTATTTGTAAATTTTAACACTTTCTGCATTTTCTCCCATTTCATGGGAAAATGTATTGTAGTAGCAGAAATGCAGGACTGGACAAGAGAGATCCAAGTACAATTGAGGTTTGCCAGACATTATTTATTCTGAAATAAATGTTGTGAACATAGGGATCGACCATTGCAGGAAAGCTAGGAAGAGCTTGGAATAATGATGATGATGATGATGATGATGATAATAATAATCTTTATTTATATTCTGCTCTATCTTCTCGAGGAGACTCAGGGCGGATTACAGTACACATATACGACAAACATTCAATGCCATTATACAATTAATAAAGACATACAGTACATAAACACAGGTAAAGACTTCCCATTTATTCCTTATCCAATTTTTTTCCATCTGAGGCTGTGCTTGACTCTGGCCATGTGAAGCGGTGTATGTGTGTGTGTGTTTGTGCTGTAGCTCCATCTTCCATGCTGAGGAACTTTGTTGTCCTTAGATGCTCTCTGATTGAATCGCCAGTATGCCCGCTTGAGCACCTTTTATTACCTCCCCACCAAAGTGGTACCTATTTATCTACTCATATTGCTGTTTTTGAACTGCTAGTTGAGCAGAAGCTGGGCTGACGGTTGGGAGCTCACCCCAACTTGAGCTTGAACTGTCGACCTTTCGATCAGCAGGACCTTTCGATCAGCAGGATTTCTGCAATGTAAATCGCCTGGAGCATCTCGGATGGAGGGCAATTAATAAGTAATTAAAGATGATGATATAGATGGTGTTCCTTATTTGAGGAGCAGAAAATATGTATCTTAAAGGACTGGCAGTTGTGCCCTACTTGAGAGTCAGAAAGCTTTTCCTTTTATAGACAATGAGGTGTCAATGTTTTATATTTTTGCATAGGCCAAAGTAAAGGTTTTCCCCTGACATTAAGTTCAGTCATGTCTGACTCTGGGTGGTGGTGCTTATATCCATTTCTAAGCTGAAGAGCTGGCGTTGTCCATAGACGCCTCCAAGGTCATGTGGCCAGCATGACTGCATGGAGCGCTGTTACCTTCCCGCTAGAGCGGTACCTATTGATGTACTCACATTTGCATGTTTTCAAACTGCTAGGTTGGCAGAAGCTGGGGCTAACAGCAGGAGCTCATGTCGCTCCCCAGATTCGAACCTGAGACCTTTCGGTCAGCAAGTTCAACAGCGCAGTTTAACCCACTGCGCCATCAGGGGCTCCATATTTTTTCATGTGTGCCCTTAATAAAGACAGAAATCTAGGTGTAATGTATGTTATGAATGTGGAAAATAATCCTGGAACCCCTAATGACCTGTTATGTAACTTTACATGAAGTTATCTATAGTAGAGTCTTGCTTATCCAACATAAACAGGCCAGCAAAACAATGGATAAGCAAAAATCTTGGATAATAAGGAAGGATTAAAGAAATTAAACATCAAATTATGTTATGATTTTACAAATTAAGCACCAATATATCCGATTTTACAATAAATTGATAGAAAAAGTGGTTCAATACACAGTAACGTTATGTAGTAATGCCTGTATTTACGATTTTAGCACCAAATATCGCAATATTTTAAACAGCTCTGGATCTGGGTAGGAGGCAGACTGTGTTGGATAATACAGAACGTTGGATGAGTGAAGTTTGGAAAAGCGAGACTCTACTGTATATAGAATTAGTGCTAAGAAGTCTCTTTATAGGAGTATAAATATGCAGGAACTAACAGAGTGCTCAATGTGCATCAATGTTGATCAGAACCAATGCAATGGACATGGGTCCTATTGTGCATTGGGCAGCAAGCACACTGGACATTTTGCTGTAATGTAACAGTATCTCTCTATGGGATAGAGACATTACACAACTGTGCAATTCTGATTCCTGAATACACAAGTCCACTTACAAAAAAAATAAGTCCCAACAAGATTCCAGGAAATGTAATTTTAGAATGACACAAACAGCATACTGAACTGAAATCAATACTTACCTTTGATAGTTAGGTAGATAAAAAACCCTATGTATTGGGTTGCTATAAGTTTTCCGGGCTGTATGGCCATGTTTCAGAAGCATTCTCTCCTGACGTTTCACTCACATCTATGGCAGACATCCTCAGAAGGATGCCTGCCATAGATGTGGGTGAAACATCAGGAGAGAATGCTTCTGGAACATGGCCATACAGCCCAGAAAGCTCATAGCAACCCAGTGATTCTGACCATGAAAGCCTTTGACAACACAACCCTATGTACTTTCTGATATTCGCCATAGGAAAAATGGGAAACAAACACAATTCATAAAATTATTTGACACTTATGGTTGCTTCCGATAGTTATTATTTAAGTGTAGAAGTAGCATGGTACTAACAACTCTCACCTGACATCACAGGCAAAGGTAATAAATATGTTGGAATCTGGATGGTTATAGTGTGTAATACCCCTCCCCCCCCCCCAGTTATTTTAGTATAGACGCTCAAGGCCATCGGTAAGAGGTGTTGGCTTAAAATTGGTAATCATTTATTTTTAAAGACCTGGGAGCCAGCCACTCTCGGTATGCAAGAGCACATTCCTTAGGCATGAGAGAGCCCAGCTCATTATCACAAGGCTATTTGTGTGCCGAGCTGATGATGTGATTCAGGCACCGAAAATGAGTCAAGAGTTCTTTTGTCTGTTCTCTCCTTTTCGGGTAGATCTGACTCTGTGCCTACTTTACAGCCTTAAAGGTTGATTCTCATTGTTTAGTTCTTTCAGGAAAGAGGAGTTTGAAAAGAGGGGAAAGGGCACCGAGAAAAATTACCTTTTATGTAGCCTTAAGTCACCAAATGGAATTATTCCCTTTTTAATTCATATATATCACCCAACAACTTATTTCAAGGGCAAGTGAGTGTTAAGTAAGGTTTTCCCCGACACTAAGTGTAGTTACGTCCAACTCTGGGAGTTGGTGCTCATCTCCATTTCTAAGACGAAGAACTGGCGTTGTCCATAGACACCTCCAGGGTCATGTGGCCAGAGCGGTACCTATTGATCTACTCACATTTGCATGTTTTCGAACTTCTAGGTTGGCAGAAGCTAGGGCTAACAGCAAGAGCTCACCCCACACCCGAATTTTGGTCAGCAAGTTCAGCAGCTCAGCAGTTTAATCCACTGCGCCACGGGGGACTCCCCAAGTGAGTGTTAGAGTGTATAAAAATAATAAAATCAGGTGCTGCGGGCAAGATTTCAGAGAAAAGAACTGGCAAAACCATGTTATTCCTTACGTAATACAACCCTAAAAATGTATAAGGTAAAAGTCTAGTTGTGTCTAACTCTGAGGGTGGTGCTCATCTCCATTTCTAAGTCGAAGAGCTGATGTTGTCCGTAGACACCTCCAAGGTCATGTGACTGGCATGACTGCATGGAGTACCTTTCCACAGAAGTGGTACTTATTGAGCTACTCACATTTGCATGTTTTCGAACTGCTAGGTTGGCAGAAGCTGGGGCTAACAACGGGAGAACAGAGCCCCCATGACCAGCAAAAATAATGGTTTTTTGGGGAATTCACCTTGATTTGGGGAAATTGTAGTTCACCTACATTCAGAAAGCTCTGTGAGCCCAAACACTGATGGATCTGGACCAAACGTGGCACACATACCTGACATGCCAAAATTTGATTACTGGAGGGGTTTGGAGGGAACTGACCCTCGTTTCTGGGAGTTGTAGTTCACCCACAACCAGAGAAACTGTGACTTCCACCGATGATGGACCTGGACCAAACTTGGTACAAAGAACCCTCATGACTAAATCAGCCTACTGGAGAGGGGTTTGAGGGACTGGCTCACCATAGTGGGAGTTGTAGTTTGCCATACAGCCAAAGAGCACACTGAACCCCACCAATGATGCATCCAGAGCAAACTTGCCCAAAACAACTAAATTTAAGTACTATGGAGTTTCTCGAGGTTAACGTGGCACAATGTGAAGTGTAGTTCACCCACACAACCTTATGCATTTTGTACAATTAAAAAAAATGGCTTTTTCAAATAATCCAGGCAAAGCCTTGTGTGTGTGTGGAGTGTTTTGAGAAACTGCAAGTAGCTTCTGGCGTGAGAGAATTTGCTGTCTGCTAGGACATTGCCCAGGGGACGCCCGGATGATTTAATGTTTTCCCATCCTTGTGGGAGGCTTCTCTCATGTCCCCGCATGGGGAGCTGGAGCTGACAGAGGGAGCTCATCCACGCTCTCCCCGGATTCAAACTTCTGACCTGTTGGTCTTCAGTCCTGCTGGCACAAGGGTTTATCTCATTGTGCCACCGGGTACTCAAGCAGGAAAATAGATTTTCTGGGTTACAGTCTCCTTTGAGAATCTGACGAACCACAGAAATTATTACCAATGTTTGCCAAATATTTTCTATTTCCTTCCTACACACTGTCTAGATTTGAATACACAAGAAATACTTCATTTTCTTTGTCTTAAATAAATCACAAATACAAAAGAAGGTAAGGAAGGGAAAGAGTTTTTAATAAAAATAATTTAATGATTAAATCAATGTTTATTTATATAAAGAAAAAACCCACAAAGTCTCCCCACCAGGGGGAAATTCACTCAAATAATTTAACACACACTTTAAATTTAAATGCAAAAGTCAATACAAATTGTTTCTTGTATAGGATAGCAAAGGCTAGCTTTGAGAGATCTGGTATATGCAAAGAAACAGGATGCCAAATCCCCATATGCGAGGGAACTGTGGGATCCCATGTTTTTACAATATTATTGAACTAGGAGATAATTTAAAAGAGGCATTTTAGAGACAGGTTTTTCTGAGATCCCTGCTCTCCATTCCTCGGCCCATAAATACAAATGCAAATTACAGGCCAATTGCAACAATATGCAAGGCCTGTGCAATACATTTACATAACAGTAAACATGATTATTTTTTGAAAAACCTCTCTCAGACAAATATATTTGCATTATTACATAGGAGTTCATGGTTTATGCTCTTTAAAATTGACAGAGGTAGTAGCAGTAGTACTTTAAAATCAGTGCATGTATTCTGAAAACATCCTTCATTTCTAGTTAACACTCTACCACACCGATAAAAATATTCAGGATCCAGATTACAGATTTTTGTCACCATACTGTAGTCAAAGAAGATAGTACTTTAAAGGTATTTCACAGCTACAGACAAGTGGATCGTACACATTGGTTAGCAGAATCATATAATCCTTGTTTGTCTGTTTGGTTGCCATCTTGAAGAGCCATTTCATTCCACACTTTGGAAGCCCACATCCTTTATCTTAGCAGGGCTGGAAAGGAGATCCGCCTTTGTGTCATCTTCTTTTGTAGCAGAGTCCTGAACCTGAACCCCATGGAGTTTCATCCACATTTTGTCCCGGTGTTCCATCTCTAGGCAAGGCTGAAGGATGGCCCCCACCTCAGCAATCCTCCGGTGGAAACGACAGCGATCACGGGCCATTTCCTCCCAGGGGCCCTGGCGGGCAGTTCGGGAGGCATAATCCCAGGCAATTAATGGGTGGATGGTGACCACAGATGAGAATCGAACCTAAGGATACAGAGGAGAGAGGGGATGAAGATACGGAGATGGGTATTATTATTTTTTGCTCATACGCAGATCGCTGTGCAATGATCTGTTAACTGGCTGAAACTAGTAGTTAATAGACTGCTTCTTAGAAACAACATTTTTTCTTACAATATATTCTACAATTAATTGATATAGTTTCCATTCAGAGGTTAACAATCATGAATAGTACTACTTTTTCTTAGCAAAACACTCAAAAAGTCCTTCAGTCATGTTTTAATGAGACATTCCTCTTTCCTATATAAGGTTTTGGTCTTACAATAACTCCCATCACCCTTGATCACTGCCCATACTGGCAGAAGCTAGTGACCCTGCAGTTACCAGCTCAGTCAATGGGTGAAACAAGAGAGTTACTACAAAGAAGAATAAAGCTGCTATTTATTTATTATTTATTTACAGCATTTTTATCACGCTCTTTTCAGCCCAAAGGTGATTCAGGGTGGTGTACAGATTAGTAACAATTAGATGCCACAACATACATATCAATTAAAATATTTAATATCACATAATAAAATGCATATAACACCTTAATACTATAATAATCAGTGTCTTCCAGATCAACCCTTTATCCATTTCTCAACACAAATAGATTTTTCTACTTCCAGATGTCTGTCTGATCTACAACTTTCATAAGATTCAATTGGAAGGATTATATTATTTTCAAAACCTTTTACAATAGCAAATATGACCCATGAACATTGCATCTCAGGTCTTGCACAATGAAAGGAACAGTATGACCCCTATATTTGTGGGGGATATGTTCCAATACTTAATGTGGATACATAATACTGAAGGTAATAAGGCACATACTTGAATGAACAACTTCTGGTGGAAGCACATCATAGAGTCATGCTCAAAACCTAGGAACTGCCTGAGAGTACACGTCTATAGAATTTGCTAGATCCTCCAGAACAACTCTGTAGTCAAAGTGCTACAGAAGCATATCATAGGATTATGTGATGGACCTAGAACATGCCTAGAGAGAACATACTCTTTCTGGCTCAAGTAAATGAAACCACTGGTACAAGTCCCACAGATACAAAGTTTGCACTGTAATTGTATTTCCTGCTTACATGGCAATTATAGAGTATCATTCAAAAATTGATACACGAAAAACATTACATTGATTTCTTTCCTTCCCTCCAAAGCAGCTCAATGCAGTGTTGTTAACTTCTCTATTCTCTGATCTGTGAGAAAAGTCACAGATCTGATATAATCTGGCTCACAGTGAATACCACAACCAAATAAGGAGCTGAACCTTGAACTACCAAATCTTAGTCCAACATGCTAACCATTCTTTGGGAATAGAATGATTCCTTGATGTAAAGGTGAACTCTTTATTGTAAATCCCAATACAATACAGAATACACCTTGATCCCTAGACATGTGTGCATATCCTTTAGCTCAGACATGCTGGTTAGGTAGAACCTAACTTTTTAACCTTTTTGTTATTAGGACATTTCCCCAATTCACCCCCTTGATTTCAAAATAGAAAGAGATGCATATAGGCCTGGAAGCTGAATCACATAATATAGGTTTTAACCTTTCTAAGACAATCATGGACCAGATACATGTGGGTTGGCTGCAGCTAGGGGGGGAAGATGAAGCACTCTGCCTATACTCAGAGGCACACTTTATGCCCTCATTTCCAGTGCATAAATTATAATATATCCCTACTCTCATACAATTGGCATTTGCCCCCATAACTCCATCCATCCCCAAAGCATCTATAAACATTCCTATGTGTGGTTGGAAGCCAAGAGTTAATGACAAGGGAAGCCAATCGGTAGGCTAATTATCTGTGGCCGTCTTTATTGGGGCTTCCCAAACAAACATGGAAATTGCACTGTTTGTGGCTGTGTGCCTTCCAGCGATTTCTGGCTTATGCCGACCCTTCCATAGGGTTTTCTAGGGCTGAGAGTATGGGATTTGCCCACAATCATGCAATGTTTTTTCATGGCTAACCAGGGATCTGAACCCTGGTTGTCAGAGTCCTATATTCAGACCACTACACCATGCTGCTTCTATAGAGGTCTCTAAATAATGCTATGTAACAACGATTTTCTGTTCCTGGTTTAAAATTGTCATTTCCTGTTTAATTGTGCAGTACTTACTTTGAAAATAGTTGTTTTACTCCAGAAACTTTGTTTTTGTGGCTGCCACAAACTATATTGAATTGGTTGAGACCCCAACAGATATTAACTGAAAAACTATAGCAAAATGTGCTGCAGGACATCTCACAAAAACAAAGTTTTTGCAGTTTAATAAACTGTTTCCGTGTTTTTATGATAGAACCTGTTAGGAAATGACATTTATAACACCCAGGAACACAAATTGTGTTACATAGTGTAATGAAACTGCAGGCACTTTGAAAGGAGAGCCAGGCTTTTTCAGAGAGAGAAGGAAGGGCAGTCAAAGGAAGTGAGGGAGAGCCTGCCCAGCTGAGAAATGCTTGACATCATCTACTTCCCAAGTAGACATCAAGCATTTCACAGCTGTTGCCAGTTATTTCAGGTCTCTCTCCAAAATGATGAAACCAGAGGGGTGGGGAATAAGGAAATTAAGTCCAAAGGAAAGACTCGAGTGAGGCTAAAAGAGAATAAGGTGGTGGTGGGGTCCCAGGGTGGAAAAATGTGGGCTGGGAAAGATGTCTTTATAGCAAGACAAAAAAGCTTGGGAAAATAAACATTTCTTTTGAAATTACCATGTATACTTGAGTATAAGCTGACCCAAATATAAGCTAAGGCACCTAATTTTACCGCGAAAAAATTGGGAAAACGTATTGAGTCGAGTATAAGCCGAGGATGAGAAATGCAGCAGCTACTGGTAAATTTCAAAATAAAAATAGATACCACTAAAATTACATTAAATGAGGCATCAGTAGGTTAAATGTTTTTGAATATTTACATGAAACTGGTTTAAGATAAGACTGTCCAACTCTAATTAAACTGTTATTCTAACCTCCTTGAATGTAAATGTGCTTACGTATCCAATAATAATAAAGAGTAAACAGACAAGATTCCTTTGTCCCACCCTGGTCGTTCCACAGATATATGAACTCTTTTTCCTAGTTCCAACAGACCTCACTACCTCTGAGGATGCTTGCCATAGATGCAGGTGAAACGTCAGGAGAAAATGCCTTTAGAACATGGCCATATAGCCCAAAAAAACCTACAACAACCCAGTGATTCCGGCCATGAAAGCCTTCGACAATACAAAGAGTAAAATAATGGAAACAGTAATAATAGAGTAAATAATACATGTAATAATAATAGTTAAATAATAAATAAGCTTGACTCGAGTATAAGCCAAGGAGAACTTTTTCTACCTAAAAAGGGGGCTGAAAAAATTGGCTTATACTAGAGTATATATGGTACTTATTGAAATTACGTGAGAGGGTCAGAGAATGGCCAAGTCACCTTTTTGGACCGTCTGCAGCTACCCAAATCCCAAAGTAGCATGACCACTGGTTAAATGGTTATGCTGACAGGGGATTCTGAGCACTGTATTTTTTTAAAAAAGCAACATTTCTAAGTCTGACCATGTCTAATCACCCTTACTGATTTTGATTTCATTACTGCGCCAGAAAGGACCAACATTTGCATCACAATTACTAGAATTCTCCAACTAGAATGACATTCTTTCTAGGAATTTGCTATGTTTCCCAGTAAGACTCTAATATCTGGAATACGTATGCCACAGAATTTCTTTGAAGACCTAGAAATTTCCTAGAGAGATCATATTTTTTGAATGCACATAGGTGAAACAGCAGGTGCTGGTTCTACAGGTAGTGGGTTCATACTGTATGTGCATAACGTATAGACCCAATATTGGAATAGTTTAATGTTTAATGACACAAGTGCTCTAAAATTATTTATCTATATTTGAATGCACTTGCATTGTTTTAATTTGCAAGGTTTTACATTTATGATGAACCACCTTAAGTCTGTATATCAGGAGAAAGGCATGAGTAAATAAATCAAGCACGCCTGTTGCTTTCTGATCTATAGAACATCCATCAAAAGCTTCAGCCTCCCTCATTTGTGAAACAAGGACACAACCCTAAGCAGCACTTTTCTATCTATACCTACAGTTGTATAAAACAAATAATTACAATTATAGAAGCCATAACTCCCTTTTAAACATGAAAATAAGACAGTTCTAATCCAGGCCAGTCACTACAAAGGGTAGAACTAAGTGTGGTAATTACATAGCCTCCAGAAAAGTGCCAGGGTTTTTAAAATGCTCTTCTCAACCTCTGGAGAAGCCAGGAGGTCTGGTTCTTCTACAAAAAATATTTTAGGTGACTCACCTTCTTGATCACCTGGCTTCCATCCTGAGTGGATGAGGTGACAGTGTCATCGCTTTTCCTGGTGTCCGGTTGGCAGCAATTATGAATCGATCTTCTGTGGGTAGCCCTTGGATCCTTTCGAGGCCAAGGTTGTTTTGAAGGGCCACACATTTGCTCAGGCTTAGAATCTTGTTGTTTTAGATAAAAAGAAATAGTGATTTCTTCATGGTTTTTGGGTTCAGGTAGAGAAGAGCTGGGAAGCTTGAGAACCTTAATGGGTTTAGTAAAACAGAGCGGGTGGAAAGGATCATTGTTCATGGAGAAAGACCCACAGAGGTTCTCAAGAAGTTCATCTTCTGCTTCAAAACCAGCCATCCCATTTGCTGAATTGCTGTCATGTAAGGCTGTTCCTAAAGGTGTACTTGCTTCCACCTCATCCTCACTCCACCAGTCTGAATCATCTTCTTCATCCCCCTCTTCTTCTGATGGACTGTAGAACAAGGAAAGGACCAGGGAGCTTTTTTGGTCATGCGGAGCAGAAGTGGGCTGCAGGCTGTTAGCACCCTCATCTTCATTTTCCACATTCATTTCAAGCTGTTCGCCAACCTTTGGGGTATCAAGTGGAGTCGCCAAGCTTTGCTCTTCATGCATTAACAAATCATCGTTTGTGATCTGGATGTTTTCTTTCTGGAAAACAGAGGTACTTTCCAAGATCTGCCAAAGACCCCCTTCAAAATCATTTATCTCTTCATATTGGCCGCAATCACCTTGCAGGTTATTTCCAAAAACTCCAGCAATCCTGGAGTCTATCTGGGGATGATAACAATCTTCCAGCCACTCCTTGGAAAAATCTCTGCAATTCTCCATGTCCTTCAGGGCTAGGCCTTCCTTTGAAGCACCTTCCCAATAACTTCCAATGTCCAAAAATATGGAAGGACTCATTAAACACAGTTCAGAAAAGGCTTCCTCTTCTGTGTGTATCTTATCAATTTCAGCACATTCAAAACCAGACATGTATTCTGCAAAGTATCCATCTTCAATCAAGCTCTCAGTGTCCTTTACTGTGGACCGTCCACGGCTACTCATTATTAGATATTCGAGATGACCACGTTTCAAGTTTTGGGTCTCCAATTGACTTCCTCCTCTTTCAAATCCTTTCCCCTCTAAGTGTTTCACTGTCTTCTCCAAGATGGGCATTGCCCACCGAGCAATGCCTGTCCATATAGCTGCCATCAAGTTTGCTGGGTAACTCTGCCAGAGGTGCCAAAACCTCCTCAGCCAGTCCATTGCAACCATCATGGCTCCCATGTTCATTTTTCCAACAGAAGTGGAAGCGTTTGGCTGTGGAGGGAGACTTTTAGCCATCCTGAGACCAAAGGGAGCAGAGCAAACCAACAATTTGTTTGAGTTCAGAGTGTGTGAGATCACCTGGCAGGCTGTGATGTCTGGAGGCATTTTAGACCTGGAAAAGAAGCAGAAGAGAAGATAAATCATCACCTTCATTACAATTTACTAAAGTACCAGGTGGAATAGAAGGATTGGGTGTAAATATTGTTTCCTCTGTAGCACCAAAATCTGTCTTACGTAAGACTGCTGGCTAGTGTTTGTATCAATACCTATACAGTGCATTCCTGCCTTCTCCAGGCCAGTGTTTTCTACGTGTTCTAACCACCCCTTGCCAGCATGGTCATAGGGAGAACACAGTAAAGTGAATTCATGCAACACATGTCACAAGAGCCTTCAAAAAAGTCCTTGTCTGGGCTACAACTTCCAGAACATCCTTAGCCAAGATGACAAACTAGTTTGGAGATTCTAGAAGTCACAGTCCAAAAAAAAAGTTGTTTCTTCATAAAAGAGGCAAAGCAAATGAATTAGGAAAGGCAATTCTGGGAATAAGAGTAAGTGTATTACAACATCTGGAAGCATCAAGTGTCCTCCTACATTGTTTTGGAGAATACAGCAAAGTGAAGTCATAAAACATACGTCACCAGACCTTGAAAAAGGTCCATGTCTGGACTACAACTTCCAGAATATCCCTGGTCAAGAAGGTCAACTAATAGAGGGATTGTAGGGGTTACAGTCCAAAAAAAGGAGCTTCTCCCAAATGTGTTTCTTCAACTCCTTTGCTACTTAGGGAATAAGGGCATTTGCATTATGACATCTGGAAGCATCAGGTGTCCTCCTACGCCTACATTGTTTTGGAGAGCACCACAAAGTGAAGTCATACAACACAAGCCACTACAGCTTGGAAAAAGATCTTTGTTTGCACTACAATTTTGAAATACCCCCAGCTGAGATGACCAATTTGTTCTGGGGTTCTAGGTGACTCCTAGAATCCCCCCCCCCCCATAAAAGGTTTCCCCCAAGCATTTTTCTTGGCAAAACATGTGAAGCAAATGATTTAGGAAAGCGAATCCTGGGAATACATGGTGGTACATTAGGAGATGTGGAAGCATCATGTATCCACCTGTACTGTCTTGGAGAATACAACAAAAAGGAGTCATTCAACGCAATGCACCAGAGCTTAGAAAAATTCCATCCTTCTCTAAAGCAATATCATCCTCCAGTATAGACAGACATGGGCAAGCTTTAGCCCTACAGGCATTTTGGACTTCAATTCCCACAATTCCTAACAGCCTACTAGCAGTTAGGAATTGTAGGAGTTAAAGTCCAACACACCGGAGGGCCAAGGTTTGTCCATGCCTAGTGTGGATGGACCCTAGGTAATATGAACTCAAAATCACTCTCAAACATAGCCCTGAGGTTACACAAAATCAAAATAGGAAGAAGAGCAAATATTCTGGCTTTCACTCCTGAAGATGAATGCAGAAGATCTAAACAGTTGGACTACAACTTCCAGAATATCACCAGCCAAGGGACTGATACCAATTGAAATAGGAAATGGCACTTTGGGAATAAATGGTGACAAGTAAAGATGAGGAAGAAGAGGGAAATACTGGCATCCAACATTTTTAGGCCCTTAATCCATGGGATCCCAACAAAGATCCATTCTGCCCCCTGTCTGTGCCTCAGTTTATCCCTCTTCATTTCCTATGAATTGTTTCCCTGGCTGAGATGTGTAGGTTGACTTAATTCAGGGCGCGCCCCAAACAAGCTCAAGCAAGTGCCCCTGGAACGCTGGCAACACCCCAGTCCGGAAGCAGAAGGGGGGAACGCACACACACAATTACACACACACACAGCCTGGAACCCGGGTGTGCAGCTGCCAGGGAGAGAGGAAGGCAACGCAACCCTGACCCACAACAGGTTAGATCTGGAAGTGGTGGGGATGGGGCGGAGGGGCATGAGGGGAGGGGGAAATGGGGGAAAGGGAGGAGAATGATCATGTAAAGAATCCCAAATGCCACCTGGGAAATATTATGGGTGTAAAGGATTGTGGACGAACAGTAGGGCAGCACCCAATTTTTGGACAGCGGGGAAAAAAAAACATCAAACATCAGAGCACTTTTGAAAGGGAGTCTTCTAAGAAATATATATACTTTCAAACCATAGATTATATATTTCACTCTCCCAATGCAAAAATAGACAACAATTCTATTAATAAATAGAGGATAGATATGCTGGGCAACATTAGTGGAGAGAGACAGAAGCAAAGACAACCTGTAAATAGATATGGAGACAGGATGGGATTGGAACTGCAGCGAAGCGGAAAGTGATACTTAATCTTTTCTGATGTTGGCTTGGAGTACACTTCTGTTTAGGTAGATGGGCAGGAAAAACAAAACAAAATAATGCGGCTTTCACAACATGAGAGAATAGCAAGTTGAAAGTCCAAAGCCAGAAAGAGGAGTGATGTAATTTTTTTACATGAAGGGTGATGAAACTGGGTGAAAAAAGTTCCATAACAAGGAACATTAAGTATACTTTAGAGCAGTGGTTCCTAATCTTTTTTTGACCAGGAACCACTCTCCAACATTAGTACCAAAAGGGTTACGAATTGGTTTTTGGTCAACTTTAGAATTGGTTTGATTATTTGGGGTGATTATTCAGAAAATTGCATTGGATAGACCACATCAGCTCTAGTTTCTGATAAAGAACATATACCGCCATCTGTTCACCCACAGAAAACTATATTTAATAAGCCTTGGCACTATAATTTATTTATTTACTCTATTTATACCCTGCCATTTTCAACCCAAAAGGGGACTCAAGGCAGCTTACATAGAGGCAATTATTCAATGCCTTAAAACATACGCAATTCCAAAAAAATTAAGTTATGTTAGAATTAAAACATATTAAACATTTCAAAACATGCAATTCCATATTAAAATAAAGGGGTTTTTGCGAGACCAGTTGCTCTTGTTGCAACGTGCAGTAATGGAAATTAATAAAATAAAATTAGATTAGAAGTAAAACATATTAAACATTTAAAAACTTTCCATTCCATAGTAAAATAAAGGGGGCTTTGCAAGACCAGTTGCTCTTGTTGCAACGATGTAGCAACGGTGAGGCTGTGGATCATATTTTAGTTCTTCCAGACCACTGGTGGTCCATGGACCACAGGTTGGGAACTACTTTAGAGGGAGATTGAAACAAGATAAGGGAGATTTTCCTTAAAGAGAGGTATATGCTCGATATATTTAGGGAAAAACAAAATAAAATGGGGTGTCAGATATAAAGTTTTATTATTATTACTTATTATTTGAAACACAAAAAGATTAGTACACAGCAAACAAGGTCATTCTGCACTTCTTATTATTATTAGAAACACAACAAGATGAGTCCACAGCAAACAAGATCACTCTGCTGGCTGTTGTACTGGATCACATGTCGGACACTTCTCAAGTGTCTAGGACTGTGTGATGTTTATTATTATGTCCTCAAAATGCACTTTATTGTTGATTTAGGATTGATTTGCACGCCCTATCCCCTCCGAAATTTCTATCCCAGTTATATCCTACCTTGCCCATGCCCAGCATTATTTTTTAAAAATTTTAATTTTACACTTGGCCCAGCCATAGGTTTTGAATTGCTTGTTGTGTTACTGTATTGCTTATTTTATTTGAAGCACAAAAAGACTGGTACACAGCAAACAAGGTCATTCTGCACTTATTATTAGTAGAAACACAACAAGATGAGTCCACAACAAAGATGATCATTCTGCTGACTGTTGTATTGGATCACACGTCAAACACTTCTCAAGTGTCTAGGACAGTGTGATGATGATGATTATTATTATTATTGATCAATATTTATGCTATTTGTGTATGAGATTTATTTTTAATTGCTTTGTATTAGTATTTGTATTTTGCTTTGTATTGTGGTTGTTATTGCTTGTATTGATGTATTGTGGGCTCGGCCTCATGTAAGTCGCACCGAGTCCCTTGGGAGATGGTAGCGGGATGAATATAAGGGTTTTTGTTGGTTTTTTCGGGCTATAGGGCCATGTTCTAGAGGCAATTTTTCTCCTGACGTTTCGCCTGCATCTATGGCAAGCATCCTCAGAGGTAGTGAGGTCATTACCTCTGAGGATGCTTGCCATAGATGCAGGCGAAACATCAGGAGAGAATGCCTCTAGAACATGGCCATATAGCCCAAAAAAACCTACAACAACCCAGTGATTCCAGCTATGAAAGCCTTCAACAATACAGTATATAAATACTGTAAAAAATAAATCTCGGAAATTCATTAAAAGAGGATTAGAGGAATTGCACTAAAGGTAGATAAACATTTAGTAAACAAACCAGAGTTTGAGGAAGGAGTGTTGGGCCTCAAGGCATGCTGAACACACCAGATGGAAAAAAACCAGGGTGAAGAGTTGGGAAATAGGACAAATTGCAGTCTGATAAACCTCAGATGAGAACTAAACAGTCTAAAGCAGCTTAAGCGGCTGAGGGGGAAAAAGAAGAGGCCTGAGGCTGTTAGGAATTGTGGGAGTTGAAGTCCAAAACACCCAGAGGGCCAAAGTTGGCCCAGGCCTGTCCTAAACCCACATTTTAGTCCTAACTAGAGTAAACCCATTGAATCAGCTGAAAGGAAGTCCTTTCTTTGCTGGAGACCCTATAGTAAGCATGGGCAAATTGTGGGAGTTGGACTCCAACTCCCACAATTCCTAACAGCCTGAGGCTCTTAGGAATTGTGGGAGTTGGAGTCCAAAACACCTGGAGGGCCCAATTTTGCCCAGAACTGATGTAGATGCACCCCAGGAGCCATGGAAGCTAAAAGTGGGCTCAAACCGCTCTAATTCCACCGTTGGGAGTGACTCAGGAGGATGGGCTAGGCCTTCCCGATGGGTGGCTAGGCCACAAGCCTCCTGGGGTGAGGGAGGCTCTAATGATGGGTTTCCCCACCCTTCCTTACCTCAGGAATTTTAGCCCGTGACGAACTCGCTCCAGCAAGCAGCTGCGGGGCTTGTGCGGGTCAGCAACCGAGCGTCAGGCTTGGCACAACTGGGTCTGGTCGCCTCGGCAGAATCCATTCCTCCTCTCGCGTTTATTTACTGCTTTTTTATGTCTGAATGGAATGTTTGAGAGGCTGCGTTTGGGACCGCTCGGCTCTTATAAATAGACTCGTGAGGGGTGACGTCAATGCGTTGTGACGTTTCAAAAGAGGGGGCGTGGCCATGGCAAGAGACGTCAATGCGTTGTGACGTTTTGGCAGAGGGGGCGTGGCCAGGGCAAGAGAGACGTGACAGAAGGAAGGCTCGGGAAAATACTCGGAAAAGGGAGGGGCGCTCGGAATGTCCCACTGCTAGAAAGGGGGGGGGAGGGGGAGAGAAAGCGAAGGAATGTCCCACTCCTAGAAAAGGGAGGGGGGAAGAGAAAGCAAAAAAGGACTATCTCTTTTCTCTTATTATTTCCCCAGTTGACTTCCCCTTTAAAAAAAATGGTAATTTCCAGATTCATTCTGTAAATGGAAATTTCACAGCCAAGAAAACAAAATAAATAAATAAATAAATAAATGATGCTTTGCATAACTTTAAAGCAAAAGTCTTTGAAATAGTGTAAATAGAGAAGCCATTGAAATCCACAAGCATGTGGACAATTTCAACAGAAAGGAGGAGGAGACCATGAAAATGAACAAAATCTGGCTACCAGTATTAAAAAAACCTCTAAAATTACAACAGCAAAACAGCAGAGAGGAAACAACAGTGACATCTAATCACTTCTCAACAAAAGATTGCTCCAGGCACTGCCAGGCCTTCAAATGCTAATGAAGGTGGTCAGTTGAAACATTCACACCTAGCTCCAGCAGAGAAGAGCTCTTTGCCACACCCCAGTGTAATAGTATTTACAAAACAGAAACAAAATATAAGAATTTGGCATATAATCTAGTTCTGTGTGGAAGGGGCCTGGATTATATGGCAGTGTAGAAGGGGTCTCGGTTAAATCACATAAGTCAGTTGCAACATTTTATTTATTTATTTATTTATTTATTTACTATAAGAGCGGTTAACAATAGCAAAATTCAATGCTCAAAAAACATCATAAAACAGTTAAAAACAATTAAAAACAGTAGCATAGTATTTAAAAAACTCTAAAATTACAATGGCAAAACAGCAGAGAGGAAACAACCAGGCACATCTTAACACCTCTCAACAAAAGATTCCCCCAGGCTCAGCCAGGCCTTCAAATGCTAATGAAGGTGGTCAGTTGAAACATTCACACCAACTCCAGCAGAGAAGAGCTCTTTGCCCCACCCTAGTCATTCCACAGATATATAAACCCATTTTCCTAATTCAACAGACCTCACTACCTCTGAGGATGCTTGCCATAGATGCAGGCGAAACGTCAGGAGGAAATACCTCTAGAACATGGCCATATAGCCCGAAGAAACCCACAAGAACCTAGTGATTCCAGCCATGAAAGCCTTCGACAATACATTAAAAGGACTATCACTTCTCTTATTATTTCCCCTTTAAAAAAATATGGAAATTTCCAGATTCATTCTGTAAATGGAAATTTTACAGCCAAGAAAACAAAAAATGATGCTTTGCATAGCTTTAAAGCAAAAGTCTTTGGAATAGTGTAAATAGTATTTACAAAACAGAAACAAAATTTAAGAAATTGGCATATAATCTAATTCTGTGTGGAAGGGGCCTGGATTATATGGCAGTGTAGAAGGGGTCTCGGTTATACAGATCTACAGAGACACTCGCTGGAACACCTCAGCAAGCGAGAGTCCAAAAGTGGCAGGCTCAAACCCAGAACCTCAACCAATGGCTGATACCAAATGAGAGACTTCCCCCTGGGCACACAGAGGACTGGGCGACTTGGAAGGCGCTGAACAGACTGCGCTCTGGCACCACGAGATGCAGAGCCAACCTTCAGAAATGGGGCTACAAAGTGGAATCCTCGACATGCGAGTGTGGAGAGGAGCAAACCACTGACCACCTGCTGCAATGCAACCTGAGCCCTGCCACATGCACAATGGAGGACCTTCTTGCAGCAACACCAGAGGCACTCCAAGTGGCCAGATACTGGTCAAAGGACATTTAACCAACTACCAAACTCACAAATGTTGTATTTTGTCTGTTTGTTTGCTTTGTTCTGTTAGAAATGTAATATAACTGACTGGTTGCCCTGACACAACAAATAAATAAATAAATAACATTTTATTTATTTATTTATTTACCATATTTGTATACCGCTCTTCTCAGCCCTGGAGCGACTCAGAGCAGTTAACAATAGCAAAATTCAATGCTCAAAAAACATCATAAAACAGTTAAAAACAATTAAAAACAGTAGCATAGTATTAAAAAACTCTAAAATTAGAACAGCACAACAACAGAGAGGAAACAAACAAGGACATCTAATCACCTCTCAACAAAAGATTGCTCCAGGCACTGTCAGGCCATCAAATGCTAATCAAGGTGGTCAGTGGAAACATTCACACCTAACTCCAGCAGACAAGAGTCCTTTGTCCCACCCTGGTCATTCCACAGATATATAAACCATTTTTCCTAATTTCAGCAGACCTCACTACCTCTGAGGATGCTTGCCATAGATGCAGGCGAAACGTCAGGAGAGAATGCCTCTAGACCAGGGGTCCTCGAACTTTTTAAATGGAGGGCCAGGTCACAGTCTCTCAAACTGTTGGAGGGCCGGATTATAATTTGAAAAAAACATGAATGAATTCCTATGCACACTGCACATATTTTATTTGTAGTGCAAAAAACGCTTAAAAACAATGCAATAATTAAAATGAAGAGCAACTTTAACAAATCCAAATTTATTAGTATTTCAATGGGAAGTGTGGGCCTGCTTTTGGCTGATGAGATAGGATTGTTGTTGTAGTTGTGTGCTTTCAAGTCGTGTCAGACTTAGGTTGACCCTGAGCGAGGGCCGGGTAAATGACCTCGGAGGGCCGTATCCGGCTCCTGGGCCTTAGTTTGAGGACCCCTGCTCTAGACCATGGCCATATAGCCCGAAAAAACCTACAACAACTCAGTGATCCCGGCCATGAAAGCCTTCGACAATACATAGTAGCATAAATAAACAGTCAATATAAATCAATAAAACATCTCGTTAGCGTCTCATAGTTAAAATCAAGATCCAGTCTCATTGTCCTTTTGTTCCATATCCCTATGTTCGTTACACTGCCTATTCAAATGCCTGCTTGAACAACCAGGTCTTCACTTTCCCCCAGAATGTCAACAGGAAGGAGGCCGATCTAATATCTGTAGGAAGGGCGTTCCACAACCAAGGGGCCACCACTGAGAAGGCCCTGTCTCTCCCCGCCAAACGTAGTTGTGACGCAGGCTGGACTGAGAGCAGGGCTTCCCCAGATGAGTTTTTTAACATCAGTTTAAAACAGTGTTTCTCAACCTAGGGGTCAGGACCCCGGGGGGGGGGATCGCAAGGGGGTGTCAGAGGGGTCACCAAAAACCATCAGAAAACACAGTATTTTCTGTTAGTCATGGGGGTTCTGTGTGGGAAGTTTGGCCCAATTCTATCATTGGTGGAATTCAGAATGCTTTTTGATTGTAGGTGAACTATAAATCCCAGCAACTACAACTCCCAAATGTCAAGGCCTATTTTCCCCAAACTCCACCAGTGTTCACATTTAGTATACTGAGTATTCGTGCCAAGTTTGGTCCAGATCTATCATTGTTTGAGTCCATAGTGCTCTCTGTAGGTGAACTACAACTCCCAAACTCAAAGTTAATGCCCACCAAACCCTTCCAGTGTTTTCTGTTTGTCATGGGCATTCTGTGTGCCAAGTTTGGTTCAATTCCATAGTTGGTGGAGTTCAGCATATTCTTTGATTGTTGGTGAATCATAAATCCCAACAACTACAACTCCCAAATTATGTTTCATAACAGGAGCAAAATTACAGTTATGAAGTAGCAAAAGAATGTTATGGTTGGGGGTCACCACAACATGAGGAACTGTATTAAGGGGTTGCAGCATTAGGAAGGTTGATAAACACTGATTTAAAACAACACATATCAATTTACAATTCATTTTGTTTAAGGAATGAAATGTATGTTGCTGGATGTTAAAGTTAGGATGGTCCTTCCATTTTATTGACAGTTCTAATGTATGGTTGTGAACGCTGGACCGCGAAGAAAGTTAATAGGAAGAAAATCAGCTTGTTTGAAATATGGTGCTGGAGAAAAAGTTCTGTACTATGGACTGCTACAAAAGACAAATAAATGGGTCTTAGGGCACATCGAGGCTGAACTCTCCCTAGAACTCAAGATGACTAAACAGAGTCTGTGTACTTTGTCCTTTTCATGAGAAACCATGACTCATTAGACGATATCATAATACTTGTTAAGGGTAAGAAAAGAGGATGAACACAGTACAGATGGAAAGACTATCCACTATACTTTCCATGTTATTTCTGGGACCAAATTTTCTAGTAACAATGCAATGTGCAGGAGTCCTCATGGACAACAAATTAAACATGAGCCAACAATGTCATGCGGCAGCAAAAAAAAAAGCCAGTGGGATTTTGGCCTGCAACTAGATCCAGGAAAGTCATGCTGCCCCTCTATTCTACCTTGATCAGATCACACCTGGAATCACTGTGTCCAATTCTGGGCACAGCAATTGAAGGGAGATGTTGACAAGCTAGAATGTGTCCAGAGGAGGGCGACCAAAATGACCAAGGGTCTGGAGAACAAGCCCTATGAGGAGTGGCTTAAAGAACTGGACATATTTAGCCTGCAGAAGAGAAGGCTGAAAGGAGACATGTATAAATATGTGAGGGGAAGTCACAGGGAGGGGAAAGCGAGCTTGTTTTCTGCTGCCCTCGTGACTAGGACGCAATGGAACAATGGCTTCAAACTACAGGAAAGAAGATTCCATCTGAACATTAGGAAGAACTTCCTGAGTGTGAGAGCAGTTCAGCAGTGGAACTCTCTTCCCCGGAGTGTGGTAGAGGCTCCTTCTTTGGAGGCTTTTAAGCAGAGGTTGGATGGCCATCTGTCGGGCATGCTTTGAATGTGATTTTCCTGCTTCTTGGCAGGGGGTTGGACTGGATGGTCCATGAGGTCCCCTCCAACTCTATGATTCTGTGATCTACTTTGTTGTCTGAGTATTCCCTCAAGTTAACAAACAGCTTTTTTTTC